TTGGTTTAGTTATTGTTGGTATGAGAAGTGTGTTGTTCATATTGTTGATGAAATCAGTTACAGGCTGATCATCTAGTAAGCCAAGGTTGATGCTGAAGTCTCCAGCTAAGAGAAGGTGTATGTGAGAAAGAAATATATGCAGTAACTAGAACATTTATTAAAGAACCTTTTTGCACACCAGGGAACTTTATTTTGATCCAAAGAAGCCCCAGTGGGCGAAACTTACAAATTTAAAACCACTATTCGGGTTGAAGTTGTCGGATATAGAAATGAGTGATGATTCCAGGATTCTTCGGTATTGAGTGTTGTCTTCTGTGCGATAAGTCTTGAGTTTCTGTAGTTCATCGCTATCCCACATAAGAACACTGTAGAAGGTCTGAAACTTATCCAATCTCCTTTCCAAGCTACCCAAGTTTTTAGACTCTATAACCCCACTCGGTACATCATCAGATGCAGCATTCTTCACCTGACCTCAGCCGGACTATAAATACTCGCGTTCCTTCCACCCCAGGTAGTTCTGTTTGTGACTTGAAAAAGCCCACTGTGTGGGCGAAACGTAGTCAATAAAGGATCACAATATACTGCATTTGTGTTTATATTGACTACTCTCTGTGTTCTGTTAGTGAGGAAATTATAGATCCATCGACCGACTTTTCCTGTTATTCCTTTAGCACGCATTTTGTGCGCTATTACGCCATGGTCACACTTGTCGAAGGCTTTTGCAAAGTCTGTATATATTACATCTGCATTCTTTTTATCTTCTAGTGCATCTAGGACCTTGTCGTAGTGATCCAATAGTTGAGACAGACAGGAGCGACCTGTTCTAAACCCATGTTGCCCTGGGTTGTGTAACTGATGGGTTTCTAGATGGGTGGTGATCTTGCTTCTTAGGACCCTTTCAAAGATTTTTATGATATGGGATGTTAGTGCTATCGGTCTGTAGTTCTTTGCAGTTGCTTTACTGCCCCCTTTGTGGAGTGGGGCTATGTCTGTTGTTTTTAGTAACTGTGGGACGACCCCCGTGTCCATGCTCCCTCTCCATAGGATGGAAAAGGCTCGTGATAGGGGCTTCTTGCAGTTCTTGATGAACACGGAGTTCCATGAGTCTGGCCCTGGGGCAGAGTGCATGGGCATGTCATTTATCGCCTGTTCGAAGTCATTTGGCGTCAGGATAACATCGGATAGGCTTGTGTTAACCAAATTGTGATGAACATTTTTATTATGCTTGTGGGAATAATCATACTACTGAAAAATATGCCCATGGGAAATATTATGCCTGTGCATGGAAGGAAAATTTTGGGAGTGGGAGGGATTACAACTAGTTGATCAACTATTGGCCTGTACATTGCAGAGTCACTTGTTTGCACAGAACTGCTAAATGCCTCAAATGATGTAGTGGAAGTTTTAGCAGTAAAGGTCGAGAACCAAAACCTAGTCATTGTGGTAGTCTACAAGCCTCCGGATGCAACATCCCAGCAATTCCAGGAACCGCTGTTAAAAATTGACCACTGTCTGGAAAATCTTCCAGCTCCTGCACCCAACATCTTGCTCCTGGGGGATTTCAACTTAAGGCACCTAAAATGGAGGAATATAGCAAATAATATTGTTGCAGTAATAACACCAGGAGGCAGCTCTGATGAAAACTCACACTCACACGAGCTTTTCAATCTCTGCACAAAATTCAATTTAAACCAGCAAATAATAGAGCCTACTAGACTGGAGAATACACTAGACCTCATCTTCACTAACAATGATGATCTGATAAGAAATGTCACCATATCAAAAACAATATACTCAGATCACAACATAATTGAGTTCAGACATGTATGCGCGGAGCCCAGACCGACATAATGAGACTAGTCACGAGGGAGCATTCACCAAATTCAACTTCAATAACAAAAACATAAAGTGGGACCAAGTAAACCAAGTCCTAACCGATATAAGCTGGGAAGATATACTAAGCAACACAGACCCCAACTTATGCCTAGAACAGATTAACTTGGTGGCACTCGATGTATGCACAAGGCTTATTCCTCTAAGAAAAAGGAGGAGTAGATGTAAAATAGAAAGAGACAGGCGCTCCCTTTACAGGCGACGGAAAAGAATAACAGAGCGGCTAAAAGAGGTCAATATATCTGAAATGCGTAGGAGACACTGGTCAGAGAAATAGCAAGCATTGAACTCAAGCTAAAGGAATCTTATAGGAGTCAGGAATCGCGGGAAGAACTAAAAGCCATAAATGAAATCGAAAGAAACCCAAAGTATTTCTTCTCCTATGCCAAATCAAAGTCTAGAACAACGTCCAGTATTGGGCCCCTACTTAAACAAATGGTCCCTACCACAGATGACAGCAAGTAAATGAGTGAGCTACTCAGATCCCAATATACCAGTTTTAGCAAGCCACTAACCAGACTGAGAGTCGAAGATCAAAATTAATTTTTTATGAGGAGCCACAAAATTTGGTTAACACAAGCCTATCCGATGTTATCCTGACGCCAAATGACTTCGAACAGGCGATAAATGACATGCCCATGCACTCTGCCCCAGGGCCAGACTCATGGAACTCCGTGTTCATCAAGAACTGCAAGAAGCCCCTATCACGAGCCTTTTCCATCCTATGGAGAGGGAGCATGGACACGGGGGTCGTCCCACAGTTACTAAAAACAACAGACATAGCCCCACTCCACAAAGGGGGTAGTAAAGCAACAGCAAAGAACTACAGACCGATAGGACTAACATCCCATATCATAAAAATCTTTGAAAGGGTCCTAAGAAGCAAGATCACCACCCTCTAGAAACCCATCAGTTACACAATCCAGGGCAACATGGGTTTAGAACAGGTCGCTCCTGTCTGTCTCAACTATTGGATCACTACGACAAGGTCCTAAATGCACTAGAAGATAAAAAGAATGCAGATGTAATATATACAGACTTTGCAAAAGCCTTCGACAAGTGTGACCATGGCGTAATAGCGCACAAAATGCGTGCTAAAGGAATAACAGGAAAAGTCGGTTGATGGATCTATAATTTCCTCACTAACAGAACACAGAGAGTAGTCGTCACAGAGTAAAGTCCGAGGCAGCTACGGTGAAAAGCTCTGTTCCACAAGGCACAGTACTCGCTCCCATCTTGTTCCTCATCCTCATATCCGACATAGACAAGGATGTCAACCACAGCACCGTGTCTTCCTTTGCAGATGACACCCGAATCTGCATGACAGTGTCCTCCATTGCAGACACTGCAAGGCTCCAGGCGGACATCAACCAAATCTTTCAGTGGCTGCAGAAAACAATATGAAGTTCAACGATGAGAAATTTCAATTACTCAGATATGGTAAACACGAGAAATTAAATCTTCATCAAAGTACAAAACAAATTCTGGCCACAAAATAGAGCGAAACACCAACGTCAAAGACCTGGGAGTGATCATGTCGGAGGATCTCACCTTCAAGGACCATAACATTGTATCAATCGCATCTGCTAGAAAAATGACAGAATGGATAATGAGAACCTTCAAAACTAGGGAGGCCAAGCCCATGATGACACTCTTCAGGTCACTTGTTCTATCTAGGCTGGAATATTGCTGCACACTAACAGCACCTTTCAAGGCAGGTGAAATTGCTGACCTAGAAAATGTACAGAGAACCTTCACGGCGCGCATAACGGAGATAAAACACCTCAATTACTGGGAGCGCTTGAGGTTCCTAAACCTGTATTCGCTGGAACGCAGGCGGGAGAGATACATGATTATATACACCTGGAAAATCCTAGAGGGACTAGTACCGAACTTGCACACGAAAATCACTCACTACGAAAGCAAAAGACTTGGCAGACGATGCAACACCCCCCCCAATGAAAAGCAGGGGTGTCACTAGCACGTTAAGAGACCATACAATAAGTGTCAGGGGCCCGAGACTGTTCAACTGCCTCCCAGCATACATAAGGGGGATTACCAACAGACCCCTGGCAGTCTTCAAGCTGGCACTGGACAAGCACCTAAAGTCGCGTTCCTGACCAGCCGGGCTGTGGCTCGTACGTTGGTTTGCGTGCAGCCAGCAGCAACAGCATGGTTGATCAGGCTCTGATCCACCAGGAGGCCTGGTCACAGACCGGGCCGCTGGGGCGTTGACCCCCGGAACTCTCTCCAGGTAAACTCCAGGTAATGAGCTCACTAAGTTTACCAGCTTTGCTAGAGCTTTCCAGAATTGTCTCTTTGAGTTAAAGGTAGATATATGAAGTGTTAGTTCTTCCAGGAAGATGGGCTCTACGAGTCTTTTTAATTCATTAATCTTCTTACATCGATACAATCTATTAAAGAGAGAATTTATCCTTCTTTTTGCACAATTCAATTTGCAGCTGTAATGCATTTATTTCATCTGTGCCTCGTGGACTGCTATTTTATTGGGCGCCCCATGCTCAGTCTGTGAGTTCTAACTTCAAAAATTTAATCACAGATGTCACAATTGGTCTTTTTAAGACCAATTGTGACATCTTACAAAGTCACAGCGTGACCATTTACAAAGTCACAGTGGGATTACCAACAGACCCCTGGCAGTCTTCAAGCTGGCACTGGACAAGCACCTAAAGTCAGTTCCGGATCAGCCGGGCTGTGGCTCGTACGTTGGTTTGCGTGCAGCCAGCAGCAACAGCCTGGTTGATCAGGCTCTGATCCACCAGGAGGCCTGGTCACAGACTGGGCCGCGGGGGCGTTGACCCCCGGAACTCTCTCCAGGTAAACTCCAGGTGACTTTGTAAATGGTCCAGGTCGAACCGAAACGTCGTCGTAAGCTCCCCTCTCCAATGTGCGGGTTATCTGTGTATTGTTCCAGTCACGGTATTGTGCCTTTGTGTTATTTGCTGTGATTAAATTAAACTGTTTCCTCGGTGTGAGGACACATTCCATGCTAGACACCATTATCTGAAGTGGATAAACAGATGTATGTGTAAGTATGTGTGCGCAAACTAACTGCTGTTTACAAAGTGCAAGCTCTGGATTGTAAGATAAAACAGAGCATGTTACAGGTGAAGAGGTGGATTGTCCACACCCATACACACGTATTGGTCTCGGCTGCTTCGCTGTCCACTCAACACAACGACTTTCCTGGGAACAAGCACGACAACACTGCAGGTGAATCACTGTTGGTATATTCTTGGAGACGCATTAAGCCCGTACGAGGTCATTTAACTTCTTGGAATTGTCAAGCAAACTGATCGATGCAAGACCGGGAAGAGTTCATTATTATATTCATAGGGGGGGGGGGGCAGGTAAACTCATAGGGCTGGTACAACATCTGGAGGATTGGAAGGCATTCAGATTCGATCCAAAAAAAAAAAGGGGGAACAGAAGCATAATATAAATATTAAAATAATAACAGGAAAATAATTGAATAAACAAATAATTGCAAAGGACTTAAACAGCGGTATCTAACATTTTCGAGCTAAACTTTTATAACAAAGTTGTAATTACCCCCTTCTCTTTATAATCAGTAATAATAATAGCAAAAAAAAAAAAAAGCATTACCTCCCTGGGTTAATTATGGCAGGTTAAGTATCACTGACTTGATGAGAGACTTGGTTGTGGCGGGTGATGTAAGTTATCATTACAGGGGTATTGATGGTGACCTGGCGAACCCAGACGACATCTATGATGTAGTACTCTTTCTGGACGACTCCTTCCCTGGCAAGTATTGTTTTATGTTCACTTGTGCTGACACTTGTTGCTGCTGTCAGTAATGGCCCGATATTTTGGTCGGGTCTGCACTCTGTACTGTTCTTTTTGCGTACATTCACGTAGAGGTAGCTGATGAGTTCGGAATCATTGATATATTTTTATTATTATTATTATTATTATTATTATTATTATTATTATTATTATTATTATTATTATTATTATTATTATTATATTCACCAGTGCGCTCGCCCTGGATCATTGACAGTGCTGTGCATATGGGGTATGGTGAATCTTTCTGGGATCATTATCATTATTAATATCCTGGGGAGTGCTAAACCAGTAGGGATTATACAGTGCCTATGGGGGAAAGGGTGGAAAGCATTCGGGCTTAATTAAGGGAATTGGAGCACAGATCCAAATTACCTAGATCAAAAGCCCCTCACCAGCATGAAGGAACCTCCTTTGGTTTTCCTGGGATCAGCAGCCACAGAAGTACATCTAATGGAATTAGCAACTTCAGTAGATGGCCGGGTAATACGGCAGTAGGTAGTGAGTTTTTCCCAGCATGACTATAGATTTGAAGCATGAGGCTATCCTATTCTATACACGTTACGGTGGCCTGGTGGCTAAAGCTCCAGCTTCACACACGGAGGGCCCGGGTTCGATTCCCGGCGGGTGGAAACATTCCGACACGTTTCCTTACACCTGTTGTCCTGTTCACCTAGCAGCAAATAGGACCTAGCAGCAAATAGGTACCTGGGTGTTAGTCGACTGGTGTGGGTCGCATCCTGGGGGACAAGATTAAGGACCCCAATGGAAATAAGTTAGACAGTCCTCGATGACGCACTGACTTTCTTGGGTTATCCTGGGTGGCTAACCCTCCGGGGTTAAAAATCCGAACGAAATCTTATCTTATCTTATGATGGGATCATAGCTAGCGTCTTTAACGCCATGTCGTGACTTTTTTTTTGGGTTATGCTAGGTAATTTACACATGCTACTTGGTATGATAACTGTCCTTATGCGTACCTGTGCCTAAATAAACTTGCTTACCTTAGTTCAGTTGCTTTATTATATATCATATACCTGTCCAGGTTTTTTCCAGGTGTACAGAACAAAAGTTAGGGATAAGATAGGTCCTCTTAAAAATAATCTGGGGCATCTTACTGACAAAGAGAATGAAATGTGCTCGATTTTAAATAATTATTTTCTCTCGGTTTTTACACAGGAAGAAACTTACAATATCCCAGTAATTATTTTTTTATAGTGGACCTGAAGAAGAAATTATGTAACATCACAGTCACTAGTGAAATGGTTATGAAACAAATAGACCATCTGAAACAAAATAAATCACCGGGTCCTGATGAGCTTTTTTCAAGGGTTCTTAAGGAATGCAAAATGAAACTTTGTGAACCGTTAACTAATATTTTTAATTTATCTCTTCAAACAGGTGTAGTGTCTGATATGTGGAAGATGGCTAATGTAATTCCTATTTTTAAAGCAGAGGACAAGTCGTTACCTTCAAATTACCGGCCAATAAGCCTGACCTCAATTGTAGGCAAATTACTAGAGTCAGTTATAGCTGAGATTATGAGAAGCCATCTGGATAAGCATAATCTGATTAATGATACTCAGCATGGATTCACGAGAGGCCGTTCTTGTCTAATTTATTAACTTTCTTCAGTAAACCTTTTGAGGATGTTGATCACAACAAAGAATTTGATATTGTTTATTTAGATTTTAGTAAGGCATTTGACAGAGTACCGAACCAAAGACTGTTAAAGAAAGTGGCAGGTCATGGCATTGGGAGAAAAGTGCTGTCATGGATAGAGCCATGGCTCACAGACAGGAAGCAGTGTCCATAAATGGGGTTAAATCCGAGTGGGGATCTGTAACAAGTGGCATTCCACAGGGATCAGTCTTGGGCCCGTTGTTGTTTATAATATATATCAATGATCTTGATGAGGGAATTACTAGTGAAATGAGCAAATTCGCCGATGACAAAGATAGGTAGGATAATTGATTCAAACGTAGATATCAGGGAACTTCAGGAGGTTTTAGACTAACTCAATACCTGATCAGAAAAGTGGCAGATGCAGTTCAATGTAGACAAATGCAAGGTTCTGAACATAAGAACATAAGAATGTAGGAACACTGCATGTTGAGAAATGGCTTTACCAGCTAAGATATTTATAAATATAAATATAGTGAACACTTAGCTGATAAAAGACAGCAAATCGTCTACACAGCCACCCCTGCAGACGAGGTCTAGAAGCTGTCGAAACCATCTTTCAATGGGCTGTAAAGATTTATAATTTGTAAGATTATAAATTACCCCTAGGGGGTGTTATGTCAGCATATTTCATTCACTGATGGCTGACAACTTACTTGTTTGGACTCAAAAGTCCACACCTTACTGCCGACTATAGGCTGATTACAAACTCCTTGCGACTCAAGAACTGCGCAGTCCCCCGTACCACAAGAAATTCGTAACATACCTTGCTCTTGTTATTATTATAATCAAGGGGGAAGCGCTAAACCCGGAGGATTATACAGCGCCTTGCTCTTGTAACGTGAGCTATGGTGTTCTTCACACCTTCGACAGGTATCGGTGACTTGATAGAAGCTGAAGTGTCCTTGGATGTCCACGTCTTCCATTGTCTAGGAAACGCACACTGGTGCACTATGTTCCACAAGATTTGTCTTTATTGTTCACAATCTTATCACAAGAGAAGCTGATCACACTTCTCTTAAGTGTTTATTGTGTTTTGTGAGACGCTTTGTTCACACTAACGCACAGATCGTTGTTCTTTGTTGGTTATCCTGGCGTCAGTGTCACTCTCAGTAGTCAAAAGTAATCTGAAGACGCCACAGCGCCCCATGCCGCCACTGCCCCTTGCACAAAAAAAATGCTGACCTAGTACTTTTGCTTCCTTGCCACTTCCTCGATGAAGCAAAGCAAAATGTTTGTTTCTTGCTGTCTTAAGCATAGACAACAATATCCACTATCTTTACTATGGTAATAAAGAGGGAGCAGAATTTTCCTTAATTGTCCTGCTAAAGTAAGAGATGTACTGTCTCTTATTAAACTACACTTTGCAACACTGGACTGCAAGGAGCATCGGTCACTTGACCACGTCAGATACTCGTACAGCATCTGTGATCAATTACTCACTGTAGCAGTAAACAAGACGCTTGCCTCTTCTGAGAGGGCTGGGCCCCTCAGGGCTGAAAGGGGCTGAAGGGGGCTGATACCCCCCTCCTGGAGAAAATTTCTCCACACTGCAGAAGGCCTACTGGCCCACATGAGGCAGGTCCTCTAGTGTCCATAACCCTAGCACTTATAAGTTAAATAATGTAGAACTTAGCCATACAAATTGGGAAAAGGACTTGGGGGTTATGATAAGCAGTAACCTTAAATCAAGACAGCAATGCCTAAGCGTACGTAATATGGCAAACAGATTACCGCGATTTATATTAAGAAGTGTAAGCAACAGAAGTTCAGCGGTTATATTACAGCTTTATACATCATTAGTAAGGCCTCACCTAGATTATGCAGCTCAGTTCTGGTCTCCATATTACAGAATAGACGTAAATTCGTTAGAAAACATTCAGCGTCGAATGACTAAATTAGTACATAGCATTAGAAATCTTCCTTATGAAGAAAGATTAAAGACCTTTAAATTACATTCACTTGTTAGACGAAGAATGAGAGGAGACATGATCAAAGTGTATAAGTGGAAGATGGGTATTAATAAGAACATAAGAACATAAGAAAGGAGGAACACTGCAGCAGGCCTGTTGGCCCATACTAGGCAGGTCCTTTACAATTCATCCCACTAACAAAACATTTGACCAACCCAATTTTCAATGCTATCCAAGAAATAAGCTCTGATATGCAAGTCCCACTCAAATCCAACCCCTCCCACCATTTTAATGTTCCCTCCCACTCATGTACTTATCCAACCTAAATTTGAAACTACCCAAAGTCCTAGCCTCAATAACCCAACTAGGTAGACTGTGATATAGATAAGGTCTTGAGGATATCTCTCCAAGAGAGAACCCACAGTAATGGATTCAAATTAGACAAGTTTAGATTTAGAAAGGATATAGGAAAGTTTGGAAATAGGGTAGATGATGACTGGAACAGTCTACCTAGTTGGGCTATTGAGGCTAAAACCTTGGGTAGTTTCAGATTTAGATTGGATAAATGAGTGAGTGGGAGGGGTTGGACTTGAGTGGGACTTGCATATGAGTGGATAGAGTTAACAGAGCTTATTTCTTGGGTGGCACTGAAAATTGGGTTGGGCAAATGTTTTGTTAGTGGGATGGGTTGTAAAGGACCTGCCTAGTATGGGCCAACAGGCCTGCTGCAGTGTTCCTCCTTTCTTATGTTATGTCCTATAGGCGGTATGGGAGCCTACCTTAGTGAAAAGTGATTGATCTTAATACAGTCTGCATTTTTGTGTCCTAGTGGGCCAGTTGCTTGTGTCTCCTGATAACAGGCACTCTAAAACACTCCCAGAGCTTAATATATGGATTTTAATTACTCTATGTCTTCCCAAGGAAAAAAAGGGATTTGAAATGGAAAAAGTGGAATATGCACCCCTTGAAGGGTGGTCTAGACCGAGTAAACTCCACTTACATCGCCTGTAATCTTAAATATGCAATATATTTCTTAGTAAGTTACACATGGTAAAACGAGTGTCCAATATATACAAAATTCCTCTCTCAGAATCTGTGTATTCGACTTCAGGGGGCTGGGGATTCTGGATTGGTGCCACTCTGGACAACACTGGAACCTGGCAATGGGTGTCTGGCTTGCCTGTCAGGACCCAAGTGGACTTCTGGGGTCGGGGCGAGCCAGGTGATGCTCAGGAGAATGATGAAGGCTGTTTATTCCTTCATGGGTGGTGGAGGTTCCGTGCTGGGGCTGACCCCTGCACCAGTGAGAAGTACTTCATATGCGAGAGGAAAGTTAATTAATTGGATATTTATAATATTTCTGACACAGTATGTTCTGTGCAGCTTTCCTTTACGGGTTTAGGGCTTCCCGTGATAATAATAATAAATATAAGAATAATAATAATAATATACAGTATGTTTTAGACAGTTATTATTAAATTTACATGAAAGCGTAAGCCCGTATAGGTCATCCAACGCTGTTCTAGGCATTATTTCTTCATATTGTATAAATAATTCTTCTGAAAAAATGTGTTCCGCTATTAATATGAATAACCTAATTATTTTCGTATCAATTCATGATGCAAACACTCGGTGGCCACTTTATTAGGTACACCTGTACCAGGCCCCGTGACTGAAGCTCTTGCTTCACACGGCAAGAGTCTGGGTTCGATTCCTGGTGAGGGTAGAAACATTCGGCGTGTTTCCTTACACAGGTTGTCTATGTTCCCCATCAGTAAAATGGGTACCTGGGTGTTAGTTGACTGGTGTGAGTCATATCCTGGGACAAAATTGGCCTAATTTGCCCCAATTATATTATTATAATTATGGGAGAGCCCTAAACCCATGGGATTATACAGTGCATGTGGGGGAGGGGGTGGAAGGTATTCAGGCTCATTTCAAGGAACTGGAGCACAGATCCAATTCCCTATATCAAGAGACCCTCACCAGCGGCAAGGAACCTCCCTTGAGGGGAATTTGCCCAAAATGCTGTGCATAACAAGCTGCTTTCTATATAGTAGTACATATCATTGATGTCAGCTAGGCCTGTATACCTTGTACATGTACTCATAGAAATAAAGATATTATTATATTATTAATGCAAATATCTAATCAGTTAATCACGTGACAGCACCTCAATGCATAAAAACATGTAGACATGATCAAGAGGTTCAGATGTTCTTCAGATTGAACATCAGAATGAAGAAGAAATGGATCTAAGTGATTCTGACTGTGAAATGATTGCTGGTGCCAGACAGGAAGGTTTATCTCAGAAACTGATGATCTCGGGATTTTCACGGACAACACTCATACAGTTTACAAAGAAAAACGTGAAAAACATCAAACATCCAGTGAGCAGTAATTCTGTGGGTGAAAATGCCTTGTTAATGAGAGATGTCAGAGGAGAATGGGCATACTGGTTCAAGGACCCCTGGTAAAGGACCCCAATTGAAATAAGTGACTTTGTCTGACTTTTTTGGGTTATCCTAGGTTCTCTACACATATGCTGATATATATGATAATTTGTGTAACTGTATTTGTGTATAGCTGAATAAATTTACTTACTAAACTGACAGTAATTCAAATAACCACCGATACAACAGTGGTATGCATAATGGCACATCTAAATGTACAGCACATTGAACCTTCAAGTGGATGGGCAACAGCAGCAGAAGACCACACCAGGTTCCACTTCTGTGAGCTAATAACAGGAGACTGAGGCTACAGTGGGCATAAGCTCACCAAAACTGGACATTTGAAATTAGAAAAATGTTACCTGGTCTGACGAAATGCGATTTCTGCTGTGACATGCAGATGGTAGTGTCAGAATTTGGCATAATATATTATTATTAAACTTTTGGGATGTGGTAGAATGGGAAATTTGCAGCATGAATGTGCAGCTGACAAATCTGCAGGAACTGCATAATACTATCATGTTAACATGGACTAGAATCTCTAAGGGATGTTTGCAGTGGTTTATTAAATCCATGCAACAAAGAATTCAGGCTGTTCTAGGAGCAAAGGCATATTCCTACCCAGTACTAGAAGGGTGTATCTAATAAAGTGGCCACTGAGTGTGTATCATGAATTGTTTCATATCACAGTTCAGATTTGAGGTAGACATTTTTCTCTGTATGTACTGTTTCTAAATATCTGCAGTGTCTGGAGCCACAAATTTCATATTTAAATGCATCACAGAGTAGGAATAGCAACATTTATTGACTTGTATGGTTCCTGCCTGGGGTAATGGGAGGTAGTTAGGTTCGATCCAGGGAAGGGAAGGTCTGATTTAATTCCTTGGATTATTATTATAATCAATAAGAAGCACTAAACCATTAATTCCTTGGAACAAGCATCCTTCACCAGTATCAAGTTACCTTCTTGAGGGGGTTTCTCTTAGTAGACAATATTTAAATTATGCATTTTAAAACACTACTTTTTTGTTATACATAATTATCACAAAAAAATGTTAACCCTCTATTGGTTATACAGCACTGCAAAATACTAGTGTTCTTAATGCTCAGTATGACTGTTAGTACAATATACTGCCTGCAATTATCGATATTATTACATTCATGTAGGAAGTTCTAAACCCATAGCAGTCATACAGTATCTAGGGAAATGGAAGGCATTCAGACTTGATACAAGGAATTAGAGCACAGATCTAATTCTTTAGATGAAGAGCCCCTTACCAGTATCAAGGAACCTCCCATGAGGGGTGCTTCCTACAATAATGAAAATTAAGTCTTCCTTAAGTTCAAGGAGGCAAGAGAACAGCAAATTATTATTATTATTATAATAAAAAAGAAGCGCTAAACCACAAGGGCTATACAGCGCTGCGAGAACAGCAAAAAATTAATGAATACATGAACCACTGTCAACCAGTTTTATAAATAAGAAGTTTGAGATTACAGTTCTATTATTATACTCATGGGAAAGCACCAAACCTGGAAGGATTATACAGTGCAAGGGGAAAGGGAGGGATGGATGGATGCACTTCTTTGAATAAAGAGCCCTTCACTGGCATTAAGGCACCTTTCTTGAGGGGGTAGCTGGACAGGAACCTAATTGGGGTTTGATGGAAAATAAATAATTTTGATTGGTCATAAATAGATCAAGCAGCTAAGTTTGCATGTTCTTTGTCCAGAACATCAGCATGTCCACTGCAAATATTCGATGATCTCAATTATTATCATAGTGAACATTAAAATGGTATAAAATCCCGACAGGTGTGTCTTACCTATTATCATAGTATCTACAAGCATGCTCAATACCTTTATGGGTCATGCAGTGCTGAAGACCTAGGTATAAAAATGGAGATGTTTTGAGGAAGTGTAATGCCAAACAACATTTCTGCAGTGTGAAACTATTGGATGAATTGCATGCCAAGGGATTAAAATGCATATTGCATATTTAAAAAAAAAATAGGTGAAAATTAAAATGCCAAATATTCAGCATCTTTAAAAAATTTATTAAAAGAAAATATTTAAAATATTTTCCCAAACTCACTTCAAATACTGTACAATAATTTGAAGGAGGGGAGTATAAACAGCAAGGAATATATCCCTAATGCTCTGTCACAAAAAAAAAATAATAGCAGTGGTTATGGATTATCAAACTAAAGCAACACCTAATGAAGACTTAGAAAGCTCCTTATAAATGAGGCTAACTTCATTTACTTGTGTAAATACTGTACAGTGTACAATTTTGGTTGCTTGAACCATCTCTTGAGTACAAATGAAGCAGAGCTTACATGAAAAGCATTTTATAACTGTCAGTTACCAAATATCATTACAATATAAACAAAAAAAAAAATTCTCTGATATACAGTGAACAGAATTGTACTCTTGTTACTGAAGCCTACATTCAGGAGAATATTACGTAGTATTTACTGTACAATACAATTTGTAGCATTTATATGGTAAAATGAGACAAATTTAATTAATGAAACTTAATTAAAGAGATTAACACCTCACTAAACTGGCAATAATATGTGCTAATATAATTCTAGAATATTGAATATTTACAAGAGCCTATGTTTTCTCCAATTAATAAACTTAACACCAGCTTACAGAAAATTTCCCATAGTATGAGGACTACTTCTAGAACCAGCTTCTTTAGCCCTTAAACTGGTTATGACACTATAACATCCTTCTGAGTCCTTATTTAAGATACAGTACACATATGCAACCTTTCACACCTTTTTTTGTGAAATGTAACATGACTTAATTTCTACATGATAAACACAATGGGTGTTTATAAAAAACAAAGAAATATCGTGCCTGCCTCATATCCCACAAAAAAGGACTTCTTAGTAACAAAGTGGGTACCCTCAAGTAAAGACATACTACCTTATAGGAAGACATAATGCAATTCTTGATTGTTGCCAGACAGTTGTCATAAAGAAGCACAATAGTGTAGAAGAACAAGTTCCCTAAGTAAAACGTGTATTATAGACGAATGAGGACAGTGATGAAAACATATGTAGAACCATGTTTGGTTCCTCACATTTGTTAGTTCATAACACATGATAAGGACATCTTCAAAACACTTGACCATATCGGTCTGAAAACTGTAGTGAAGTGGAATAGAAAGGCCGTGTAAAACATACAACAGTCTCTGATGAAGACATTGATGAATATTTTTTTTTTTTTAACAAGTCGGCTGTCTCCCACCGAAGCAGGGTGACCCCAAAGGAAAGAAAATCCCCAAAAAGAAAATACTTTCACCATCATTCAACACTTTCACTTCACTCACACATAATCATTGTTTTTGCAGAGGTGCTCAGAATGCAACAGTTTAGAAGCATATACGTATAAAGATACACAACATATCCCTCCAAACTGCCAATATCCTAAACCCCTCCTTCAAAGTGCAGGCAATGAACTTCCCGTTTCCAGGACTCAAGTCTGGCTATATAAAAATAACCGGTTTCCCTGAATCCCTTCGCTAAATATTACCCTGCTCACACTCCAACAGCTCATCAGGTCTCAAATACCATTCGTTTCCATTCATTCCTATCTAACACACTCATGCACACTTGCTGGAAGTCCAAGCCCCTCACCCACAAAACCTCCTTTACCCCCTCCCTCCAACCCTTTCGAGGATAACCCCCTACCCTGCCTTCCTTCCCCTACAGATTTATATGCTCTCCATGTCATTCTACTTTGATCCATTCTCTCTAAATTACCAAACCACCTCAACAACCCCTCTTCAGCCCTCTGACTAATACTTTTATTAACTCCACACCTTCTCTTAATTTCCACACTCCAAATTTTCTGCATAATATTTACACCACAAATTGCCCTTAGACAGGACATCTTCACTGCTTCCAACCATCTCCTGGCTGCAGCATTTACAACCCAAGCTTCACACCCATACAAGAGTGTTGGTACCACTATACTTTCATACATTCCCTTCTTTGCTTCCAGATAACGTTTTTTTTTTTCTCCACACATACCTCAATGCACCACTCACCTTTCTTCCTTCATCAATTCTATGATTAACCTCATCCTTCATAAATCCATCCACTGACATGTCAACTCCCAAATATCTGAAAACATTCACTTCTTCCATACTCCTTCTCTCCAATTTGATATCCAATTTTTCTTTATCTAAATCATTTGATACCCTCATCACCTTACTCTTTTCTATGTTCACTTTAAACTTTCTACCTTCACACACTCTCCCAAACTCATCCACTAACCTTTGCAATTATTCTTTAGAATCTCCCATAAGCACAGTATCATCAGCAAAAAGTAACTGTATCAATTCCCATTTTGTATTTGATTTCCCATAATTTAATCCCACCCCTCTCCCATACATCCTAGCATTTACTTTTACAACCCCATCTATAAATATATTAAACAACCATGGTGACATTACACATCCCTGTCTAAGACCTACTTTTACCGGGAAGTAGTCTCCCTCTCTTCTACACATCCTAACCTGAGCCTCACTATCCTCATAAAAACTCTTTACAGCATTTAGTAACTTATTACCTATTCCATATATTGTAACATCTGCCACATTGCTCCCCTATCCACTCTATCAAATGCCTTTTCTTTGCAGAAAATGCAAAGCACATTTATGATTCCTTCAATGCAACTGGAATGTACAGAAAAAATGCTAACATCTGAGTCTAATGTAGACACTAAGAATTAGTTATGTATAGCCCAACAACACAGGCATAATACTGGTGTAAACTAGGATAAACCACTGTGTCTGGTACCTTGTCTCGATTCGTGTACAGGGTAGTGATAATTCTTTAAAAACAAAAACAATTATCAGCACTCATATTTTAGAATAATTACATTATAAACCATATTGTATTACTGTATGACAAATTTCCTTTACTTATTATGCTAGGCTTCTATGAACCACAAAGGCTTCATTCAATAGCAATTGGCTATTAATATATTATTTTGGTCTTTTTTTTTTTTTTTTTTTTTTTTTAGTCTCTTTTGTTCTTATTGTAACACATATTCACCTTTATCCTATTAAAAGGATTTTTTTTATTAAAAACTTTCACAGGATTGGAAGGTTACCCAAAATGCACCAGTTTAGGAGCTAATGGCAAAATTTATTCTTAAAAGCTACTGAGCATACAAAAACAGATCATAAGACCACAAATCAAATACACCTACCATCTGACTTACGACCTGCTCGACATACCATTCGACTTACAACAGTGTTTTCTATGCCAAATTTCTGGGAAATAAACAACTGTTTGTGTTGTACACTGTTTATCCTAAACCTTACAGTATAAAATACAGTACTAACAGCATAAAAAGTAAAGTAAAAAATAAAATACCAAAATAAAACATTAAAATAAAGTCATTGCAAAAATGTGATGTTGATATTCAGTAGCAAGGTTCGACTTATGTCCATTTCGACTTACGACCGGTTTGTCGGAACCGAACTCGGTCGTAAGTCGGATAGTACCTGTATTAGAACTGGACAATGTTTAGGCCCTAAATGCACAAAAAATGTCCAGTTTTCATTTACAATTTGTGGAATTCTTGTGATTTGTCTGTCACTATGATGTGACTTTTATTCTCCGCACTAAAGCTAATTATAATATGCAAACTTTAGGGGGTCAAATAGCAAACTTCCACAATAGTGAATAGACACTGCAGAGCAAACTTTTACTGGAGCAATTTTGTCCCAATAAAAACTTGTTTTCCACCACATTTTGTCTTCACATGTAAACTTTACCTGACACCTACATGTAATTTTTTGTTATTTAAGCTTAGAACATTGTATATTAATAGCATACAAAGGGCATCTAAGTAAATAACTGCTAAATAATTACAAGGAAACGACTAGTAATGCAGTCTTTCCATGACATGCACTTTACTGTTAAACATTAAGATTTTTTAATATTTAATATTGTAATACATTACATTACAGTATTATTGTAAATATCTATACACTACACTCATAAGATTTCATCAATTACATACTCATATAGCCTTCCCCAAAAAATGGAAATGCTGAGTTACCAAAATCTACAAAGTGATAACATTAGCATACGAAAACTTTTACTTCACATAATAACTCTAAGATGATACTGTTCTGTATGAAGATCCTTTATTATTCTGATATGGGGATGAAAAAACCTCCCATCACATCTTGTGAAGTAAAACACTGTTTATTGTTTTATGGGGTTGACAGGTAAGCCAAGAAAAAAAGATCTGTTCAAAGGACTAAAAACTCCACAGAGCAGATCATCATATGACCAAAACCCATTTCAGAAGTTTTCCTATTTCTCTTGACAAACAAAATACACAATACAGTATATTTCTACCACTACAAACTTCATACACATTAAGTATATCAGTCGGTATTCATGCCTTTTTACTGATAATATTTGTTTAGTTTGTTAAACCAGTACTTCTTATTTTGTCTCATGTTTATAAGCCACAGTATATTAGAACTATAAAAACTTACATTTAGAATTAAGTAATTCACTTTGTACCCAAAATGACATGAGGAATTATGTAAAAAGCAATTTGGAGCAAAAGTGGGGCATATCAATAACCCCTAAGATTCGTTAAGAGATCTGGTTAAGATTCTTTTGACTGTTGATGGTGCAGTGATAATGTTTTAGGCTTTGGCCCATGAGTTCGGCAAATCAAGGCTCACACAATACCTCTTACCTCATATTTGCAAAACTCTTAGTCTTTGTAAATAATATTTAAGGGTCCTCATTCACTGGGTAAGTTTTAGTTCAGTGTGTCTGCCTAAGCAAATTGTTTCTTTAGGGTAAATTACTCTATTATTAATAATAAAAATTTACTTGGTCAATAGAACTGGTTATATTTTATATCAGGCCTCATTTATAAAAAGAAAAAATCATAATATATAACTTTCAAAAAAGTAAATATGAACTATCTCCAAACTTTAGAGTAAAATTTATTGTATATAGGTACTGTATAATACTTTTTCCTATATCTATGATTCAATGATATGTGAAGCATTGTCAAAGTCAGAACACCTGAGTTAGAAGAATACATCCAATTAGGGCACTATTATTGAAGATATTTTAATCCTGGGACCTTGATAATTTCCCTAAACGAAGTAACCAAGACCCAAAGGGACAAAGCACTTCAGAAAAGGGTGCACCAAGGTATTCTTTTTTGTGTCCATTTTCCCTAAATTTTGTAAAGCAGGGGTTTTTGCCTTCTAACTACACATTTATTTAAACAATTTTTTTCCCCCAAATTTTTCCCTTGTTTTTTAGAGCAAGCAATGCCCGCTATTTCTTTATCACGGGAAAAAGATTAACACTTACTGAGCAAAATGATCTAACCCTTTAACTTTTAATCTCTGATTTCTTGATGTAAAATAAAATATGTTTTTTGTTTTCAAATTTTTTTATCACTAATGCAAAAAAATTTTACAGTTACAGAATACTTTAAAACACTAGAAAATAAAAATTTAAAAAAAATTTAAAAGCACTAAACTGGAAACATTTTTAGTTAAGTTCCCAAAATACCAGCAAATCTTGAACAGAAAAAGCCAATTTTTAAACAAGTTTTTTCCTCAAATTAACACAGCCCTGATAATATATATATATATATATATATTTTTTTTTTTTTTTTTTTTTTTTTTAACAAGTCGGCCGTCTTTCCCCCCGAGGGAGGGTGACCCCCAAAAAAAAAAGAAAATCCCCAAAAAGAAAATACTTCATCATCATTTAACACCTTTTTACCCACTCGCCCTTATCCCCCTGTTTTTTTTGCAGAGGGGCTCCCAAAAACAACAGTCTTTGAAGCATACACATAAAAAGAAACAAACATAAACCCTCCAAAAAGCCAAGATCCCCAAAAACCCCCCCTTTTTAAAATGCAGGCATTTTTACTTCCCAATTTTTCCCGGGCTCAAGTTTCCCACTAATGAAAAAAAACCGGTTTCCCTGAAACCCTTCACTAAAAATTTCCCTGCTCACACTCCAACAGATCGTCAGGTCCCCCAAATACCATTTTGTCTCCAAAAAACTCCCCAAAAAAACGCCCACCCCACGCCTTTCTGAATCCAAGCCCCTTAAACCCCCAAAACCTCCTTTTCCCCCTCTCTCCAAAACCCCTTTTGAGGACACCCCTACCCCGCCTTCCTTCCCTAAAAATTTTTTATGCTTTCCATTCATTTTAAATTTATCCATTCTCTTTTAAATGACCAAACCCCCAACACCCCCCCTTCGGGCCCCCTGAAAAATACTTTTTTTAAAATCCACACCTTCTTCCCCAATTTTTCCCACCCGAATTTTCTGCATAATATTTTCACCACACATTCCCTTTAAAAAGGACATCTCCACTTTCCTCCAAAACCCTCTCCCCCGCTGCTGCATTTCCCCCCCAAGCTTCACACCCTATAAGAGTGTTGGTTTCTACTATACTTTCAAAACTTCCCTTTTTTGCCTCCATAAATAACGTTTTTTACTCCCCCAATTTCCTCCAAAAGCACCCTCACCCTTTTTTTCCCCCATCAATTCTATGATTAACCTCATCCTTCATAAATCCCAAAAACCCCCGACACGTCAACTCCCAATAAACGAAAAAATTTTACTTCTTCCATACCCTCCTCCCCCAAATTTGATATCCAATTTTTCTTTATCTAAATCATTTGACACCCTCATCACCTTACTCTTTTCTATGTTCACTTTCAACTTTCTCCCTTTTACACACATTCCCAAACTCATCCACTAACCTTTGCAATTTTTCTTTAGAATCTCCATAAGCACAGTATCATCAGCAAAAAGTAACTGTGTCAATTCCCATTTTGAATTTGATTCCCCATAATTTAATCCCACCCCTCTCCCAAACACCCTAGCATTTACTTCCTTAACAACCCCATCTATAAATATATTAAACAACCATGGTGACATTACACATCCCTGTCTAAGACCTACTTTTACCGGGAAATAGTCTCCCTCTCTTCTACACACCCTAACCTGAGCCTCACTATCTTCATAAAAACTCTTTTACAGCATTTAATAACTTACCACCTATTCCATATACTTGCAACATCTGCCACATTGCCCCTCTATCCACTCTATCATATGCCTTTTCTAAATCCATAAATGCAATAAAAACTTCCCTACCTTTATCTAAATACTGTTCACATATATGCTTCAATGTAAACACTTGATCTACACATCCCCTACCCACTCTGAAACCTCCTTGCTCATCCGCAATCCTACATTCGTCTTCCCTCTAATTCTTTCAATTATAACCCTACCGTACACTTTTCCTGTATACTCAGTAAGCTTATTCCTCTATAATTTTTACAGTCTCTTTTGTCCCCTTTCCCTTTATATAAAGGGACTATACATGCTCTCCGCCAATCCCTAGGTACCTTCCCCTCTTTCATACATTTATTGAACAAAAGTACCAACCACTCCAACACTATATCCCCCCTGCTTTTAACATTTCTGTCATGATCCCATCAGTACCAGCTGCTTTACCCCCTTTCATTTTACGTAATGCCTCACGTACTCCCCCACACTTACATTCTGCTCTTCTTCACTCCTAAAAGATGGTATACCTCCCTGACCAGTGCATGAAATTACTGCCTCTGTTTCTTCCTTAAAACATTTAAAAGTTCCTCAAAATATTCTCGCCATCTACCTAATACCTCCATCTCCCATCTACTAACTCCCCTACTCTGTTTTTAACTGACAAATCCATATTTTCCCTTGGCTTTCTTAACTTGTTTAACTCACTCCAAATTTTTTCTTATTTTCTTTTAAAATTTTTTGACAGTGCCTCTCCCACTCTATCATCTGCTCTCCTTTTGCACTCTCTCACCACTCTCTTTACCTTTCTTTTACTCTCCATATATTCTGCTCTTCTTATAACACTTCTGCTTTGTAAAAACCTCTCATAAGCTACCTTTTTCTCTTTATCACACCCTTTACTTCATCATTCCACCAATCACTCCTCTTTCCTCCTGCACCCACCCTCCTATAACCACAAACTTCTGCCCCACATTCTAATACTGCATTTTTAAAACTATTCCAACCCTCTTCAACCCCCCCATTACTCATCTTTGCACTATCCCACCTTTCTGCTAATAGTCGCTTATATCTCGCCCGAACTTCCTCCTCCCTTAGTTTATACACTTTCACCTCCCTTCTTACTTGTTGTTGCCACCTTCCTCTTTTCCCATCTACCTCTTACTCTAACTGTAGCTACAACTAATAATGATCCGATATATCAGTTGCCCCTCTATAAACATGTACATCCTGGAGCCTACCCATCAACCTTTTATCCACCAATACATAATCTAATAAACTACTTTCATTACGTGCTACATCATACCTTGTATATTTATTTATCCTCTTTTTCATAAAATATGTATTACTTATTACCAAATTCTTTCTACACATAGCTCAATTAAAGGCTCCCCATTTACATTTTTCCCCTGGCACCCCAAATTTACCTACTACTCCCTCCATAACATTTTTACCACTTTTAGCATTGAAATCCCCAACCACCATTACTCTCACACTTGAGTCAAAACTCCCCACGCATTCACTCAACATTTCCCAAAATCTCTCTCTCTCCTCTACACTTCTCTCTTCTCCAGGTGCATACACGCTTATTTATAACCCACTTTTCACATCCAATCTTTATTTTACTCCACATAATCCTTGAATTAATACATTTATAGTCCCTCTTTTCCTGCCATAGCTTATCCTTCAACATTATTGCTACTCCTTCTTTAGCTCTAACTCTATTTGAAACCCCTGACCTAATCCCATTTATTCCTCTCCATTTTAAACTCTCCCACCCCCTTCAGCTTTTTTTCACTTAAAGCCAGGACATCCAGCTTTTTTCTCATTCATAACATCCACAATCATCTCTTTCTTATCATCTGCACAACATCCACGCACATTCAGACTTCCCACTTTGACAATTTTCTTCTTCTTATTCTTTTTTAGTAATCTTTACAGGAAAAGGGGTTACTAGCCCATTGTTCCCGGCATTTTAGTCGACTTTTACAACACGCATGGCTTACGGAGGAAAGATTCTTATTCCACTTCCCCATGGATATAAAAGGAAAATTAATAAGACCAAGAACTATTAAGATAAAATCAAAGAAAACTCAGATGAGTGTGTATGAATAAATGTGTATATGTATGTGTAGTGTGACCTAAGTGTAAGTAGAAGTAGCAAGACATGCCTGTAATCTTGCATATTTATGAGACAGACAAAAGACATCAGCAATCCTACCATCATGTAAAACAATTACAGGCTTTCGTTTTACACTCACTTGGCAGGACGGTAGTACCTCCCTGGGTGGTTGCTGTCTACCAACCTACTATCTGTAAATATATATATATATATATATATATATATATATATATATATATATTATATATATATATATTTTTTTTTTTTTTTTTATACAGGACCCATATATATAAAAATCCTATACTGTAAATATAATTTATACTGACAAATCTCAATAATTACATATTAATTACATGATACTGTATGATGTGAAAAATAAGGCATGGATTCATGCAAGACATTAGGCTCAGTGGCACATAGTTACCCTTAACTTGCACAGGCTTTTTCCTCCTATTATGTAGCTATGTCCCATGATTAAATTTTCACATGCTTAGTAATTATCAATACTACCTGGAAGACACCAAGTATACATTAAATATTAAAGAAAATACATTATAAAATGTTATGGGTACATACTACCCCCAGCTACAATACAATTACAGTAGTATAACCTCACTTGTCTACAATATAGCTGACTATGATTCTACAGGTACATACATTATAAAAAAATTTGCCCACTATGAAAATGACTAGAATTCTAGTATTTAAGAACTGGAGAGCAAATCTAATTAGCAATTACAAAATTACTATTATAATTATCATCACTTCATTATACTATTTATATATTTATTATGCCCTTAGAAATTTCCCTTGAAGGAATATCTCTGTTGCTTCCTACTGTTAAGACATTTGAAGGAAAACTTGAATCTCAAAATGCTCACATGCTATTCAAAATATTCAATGAAAAATGATGTGTAGAAAGAATAAGATTGCCTCAGCACGAATATAAAAGTGAAAAGTAGGGAAGGAACAGTTAGAAAGACAAAGTAAGGAAATGTAGAATTCAGTGGAATATAAATGGAAAGCCATAAACCTCTATGGATCGTGCATTGCTAAGAGATGATAAAGATCAAGATTAGAAAGAGTTTGCATTAAGAAGGATATGTGGAGAAAGAGAAAGTATTTCAGATCATCTAGTGGTGCTTCTGTGCTAGTGTAGCCAAGAACATCATCAAAAGTAACAAAAGGTAAACTCTTTACTTTTAGTGGTGTAGGGATTCCACTTGCAACAAAAGCCTACTGGGCTACATTATTAAAAAAAGTAATGAGAAAATAACCTTTAAAATGGATAGATACTTATTGTTACTGAGACTTTTTCACCTCTCCAGAAATTAAAACATTGATATGAATGATGAGAATTTATGTGCTCAAGCATGTACAGTAATTAACATGTTTGGAGAATATTTAATGACATATCACTCAGGTATGTCATTTATTTGATCTTAAGTTGTGTGTGTTTATGTGACTGTGAGTCTGATATGGTATGTACTTGACAAGATTCTGTATAAGGAAGAGACAACAAACATTTACCTAACAGATCCTATTGGTTTATGAGGAGAGGGGAGACAGATTAAATTTTTTTTTTTTTCAATAAATCGTCTGTATCCCACCGAGGTAGGGTGATTTAACTGTTTCAGGGTTTCCGACGTACTAGTACGTCTTACGTGCCAGGGTTATTGACGTACTAGTACGCGTAAATTCTAGCACCTTCAAATCTAGCGAGAGAAAGCTGGTAAGCCTACATATGAAAGAATGGGTCTATGTGGTCAGTGTGCACAGTATAAAAAAAATCCTGCAGCACACAGTGCATGAGGAAAAAAACAAACTCCGACAGTGTTTTTGGTTTAAAACAGCAAATTAGCAGTGTATTTTTGTATGGTATTTATGGTTGTATTCTAGTTTTCCTGGTCACATTTTATAGAATGGAAGACATATTACAGAAATTGAGAGGAGTTTGATTGGCTTCACAATGAAAAGTACCTTGAAATTGAGCTCAAATTAGCAGAAATGTTCGATTTTTGCCGAAGTTCAAAAGTAAACAAATCATGCCACGCGTCCAATACACGTCAACTAGTGAGTCTAACATTCTTTCACAAGTGCGCTGATATTATTTATACCATTTCTACACTAATGCAGTAGTCTGCATAACAGTAAATCTTCTATTTTTTGTGAGAATAAAAATTCAAAGTGGAAAACAAAAGAAATGTATGAGGAGCCTGGGGACATGACTAATGAACAGAGAAAATGTTATTTTAGTGCCAGGAATGTCTGTCTTGTTTATTCTGGACCCTATTTGAAAATTGGTATCTTTTGAAATTTGTGTGAAATTGGCAAAATTGCCAATTTCTGACCACTATATTGGACAGTTGAAATCGGTAAATGGGTGGTTTCTTGTACTCATTTGATAGAAAAAATAGAGTTCTAGTGAAATAATTGTGATTTTTGTCGACTAGTACACTGGAATTGGCCAGAAAATGGGGCTCAAAGTGGGCGAAATCGCCGATGCATAAACATCATCGAGACCGCTAACTTTGCAAGAGCATAATTCCGTAAGTTTTCCATCAAATTTCACACTTTTGATGTCATTATAATTGGGAAAAGATTCTCTATCATTTCATAAGATTTTTTTTGTTTTTTTCCAAAAAATTTTCGACCCTGAGAACAAGTTTAGGAGAGGGCCTCTCGACCCTGAAAGGGTTAAAAATAAAAACCAGTTTTTCCTTTTAAGTTTAGTAATTCATACAGGAAAGTGGTTAAGATTAAGAAAATATTTGGAAAAAATACATGTACATGTGCTATATTGCAAATATTACTCTACGTATAGAGATAACTAGGGCACGAGCCTTAATGTGTCAATGTTTGCTCAAGCTTGATACTGGAGTCTGTTGTAATGTGAGTGTGAACAGACAACAAATGATAAGAGTTTCCTGCATTTCTTCCCTTCTCACTCTCCTCCCTGACATCAGCAAAGACAACCACTCACCCAACTGACACAGCCAGTAAAAAAACATTTGATGAAGCTGGGAACATTGAAGGCAAATGGACCTGACATAGTTTTAGCATGGATTCTACAAAGAGGAAGCATTATCTGAACCACTAGCTAAAATATGCAAGTCAATGAATATGATACAGTTGCTAGAGATCTGGAAGACAGTGAATTTAGTCCCTATATTATATAAAAGAAACATTCAGGAAACACTGAACTACAGACCAGTTTCACTGATATACATACTATGCAAGGTAATGAAGGAGATGATCAGGAGAGTGGCAGAGCAGTTGGGAGAGAAATAGCTTCATAAACACATACATATTGTGCAAGGTAATGAAGGAGATGATCAGGAGAGTGGCAGAGCAGTTGGGAGAGAAACAGCTTCATAAACACATACATATTGTGCAAGGTAATGAAGAAGATAATCAGGAGAGTGGCAGAGCAGTTGGGAGAGAAATAGCTTCATACACAATGACCAGCAAGGGTTCAGAGATGGCAAATCTTGTCTTACAAACTTGTTGGAATTCAATGACAGTGTAATGGAAGTGAGACAGAGAGAGAGAGAGAGAGAGGAGAGGTGGATGGCTTGCATTTTCTTAAGCTGAAAGGAGGTATTTGATATTTTACCCCATAAAAGAATGGGGCAAAAACCTGAAATGCAAGCAGGAATAACAGGAAATGTACACTGGTGGATCAAAGAGTACCTTAGGAAAAGGAAGCAAAGGGTGACTGGCCAGGAAGGAATGTCAGAATAGGGAAGAAAATCAAATAATACAGTAATGGAGATAGTTGGGGTATATAGAAAGAATGGGTGATGACAAAGTAATAAAAAGAATGTGTGATACAAAAGGTCATAAGGAGGGAAAGACAGAAAGTTGGTAGAATAAAGTGATTGTGAAAATTTTGAAAGTGTAAAGTCTAGAGGTTTGTAAGAGGTTCTAAGACAATACTAGACATGATTCTGCAATTACCAACAGACTATTGGGTAGTTATTGGGATAAGATAAAACAGACAGATAGTGGGAACCAACAGTGCTATTTATTGATGATGATGAATATTGGAAAAGCCAAGGCATATAAATAAAAATGGCATGTGTGTTTCTTGTTTTTGGTAGGAAACATGGCCAAGACAGCCTTCGTTGATGGACTATGACAATCCTGAGACTGTTTTCAAATAGAAAACAAATATGACTTACCTTTTATATTAAGTTCAGTAACACCTTCCTAAACAAACTGTTTCATACTTGATCCATACATGACTTAACACACTATACATGAGTATATTATACTCTTTTCCACAAGGATATGGCAATAAGTGTCAAAATGAGCCTAAGTGGCCCATTGAGCAGGATGCTGTCCAACACTAACCAAGCAAAGATACTTGGTAACTGAAAACTTATGATGATCATCATCCAGACTGTTAACCAACGCCCACACTTGTGTCTGGCTGTGTCAAAGCTGTAATGCAAAAGAAAAGTCTAAGGAAACTAAAAAGCTTTTGTAAATGTTTATTAAATGAAGCTTTGACAGAGAAAGACAGAAAAATAAGAATCACACTAATTTACAATACAATACATTAATTTACAATTAATTTACAATACAAACTTAATTCGTTCCAGAAGGCTGTTCGTGTGCAGATACCGAACAAATTTGTTCCCAAAAGGAAAAAATGTAAATTAGATTAGTCCATTTCAGACCCCCAAAAATACACTTACAAAGCACTTACAAAAATATACTTAAATAATTGTTCGAGTTGGGAGCTGTTTGAAACTTGAGGTACGACTGTATAAACAATATCTAAAACATAGATGTATAAAAGAAGGGAATGTATGAAAGTATAGTAGTACCAACACTCTTATATGGATGTGAAGCTTGGGTGGTAAATGTAGCAGCGAGGAGATGGTTGGAGGCAGTGGAGATGTCCTGTCTAAGGGCAATGTGTGGTGTAAATATTATGCAGAAAATTTGGAGTGTGGAAATTAGGAGAAGGTGTGGAGTTAATAAAAGCATTAGTCAGAGGGCAGAAGAGGGGTTGTTGAGGTGGTTTGGTCATTTAGAGAGAATGGATCAAAGTAGAATGACATGGAAAGCATATAAATCTATATGGGAAGGAAGGAGGGGTAGGGGTCGTCCTCGAAAGGGTTGGAGAGGGAGGGTAAAGGAGGTTTTGTAGGCGAGGGGCTTGGACTTCCAGCAAGCGTGCGTGAGCGTGTTAGATAAGAGTGAATGGAGACGAATGATACTTGGGACCTGACGAACTGTTGGAGTGTGAGCAGGGTAATATTTAGTGAAGGGATTCAGGGAAACCGGTTATTTTCATATAGTCGGACTTGAGTCCTGGAAATGGGAAGTACAATGCCTGCACTTTAAAGGAGGGGTTTGGGATATTGGCAGTTTGAAGAGATATGTTGTGTATCTTTATACGTATATGTTTCTAAACTGTTGTATTCTGAGCACCTCTGCAAAAACAGTGATAATGTGTGAGTGTGGTGAAAGTGTTGAATGATGATGAAAGTATTTTCTTTTTGGGGATTTTCTTTCTTTTTTGGGTCACCCTGCCTCGGTGGGAGACGGCCGACTTGTTGAAAAAAAAAAAAAGTAAATAAATAAATATTTAGGAGTACAAATAATAGGCTGTGTTCCTGAAGTGGTTCATCAAAACTAATGTACAGAAAAGAGAGAATGAGTACAGTGGAAATATAATACCTGGTGGAACAATAAGTTTTTTTTTTAACAAGTCGGCCGTCTCCCACCGAGGCAGGGTGACCCAAAAAAGAAAGAAAATCCCCAAAAAGAAAATACTTTCATCATCATTCAACGCTTTCACCTCACTCACACATAATCACTATTTTTGCAGAGGTGCTCAGAACACAACAGCTTAGAAGCATATACCTATAAAGATACACAAACATATCCCTCCAAACTGCTAATATCCCAAACAAAATGTATGATAAATTCATAAATTTTCACTCTTACATATTCTTGTGAGACAAGATTATTTATTTTACTTCTGAGTGACACATTTCTATGGATAATACAATACCACAAAAAGAAAGTTGCTTATAAAAACTAAATTTCTCAAATTATTTTCAATTTACTTGCCTTAGCATTTTTTTTATGAAGACAATAATAAATACTGGCATCTGTAGTGTGATCCACTGGAAGGGAAAAGATATAATAGGTGACAAATAAGCAATGAACACCTTACATAAATAAATTAAATTAAAAGATGTATTGTAGATAGTACAGTGTATCATATAATCCTTCAAAGTATTCCTTACATGTAGCTAATAGTTAAAAATTGTGTACGGTATTTACATAGCTCACCAAGAAGAATGCGTCAGGATATGTGAGTTCTCCTGGCAACATGGTAGAGTCAACGAAGATTCCCCACATGAACACTGCACCTAACTTGTCTTTGGCAAGATGTCCAATGTACCATGGACCTAAAATGAATTATGATACCTTGTAAACTTCACATCCAGCACAATTTCCTTTCACTACAAATAATAAACAATGTACAGAAACATACAATTAATGCTAACTTAAATGTCATGCTACTGTACTACGAATATAAAAAATGAGAAGAATAAGTTAAAATGCCATGGTAGCAACAATTCACAACTAATCCCAAATTGGAGAAAAAATCATTAGATGGTATTTCAGTATGTCTTGGACTATTCTCAGGCTGAGAATAAATAATGGTCAGGAACAAATTTATCTGCAATTTATGGGGCCAAGAATTTGATGAGATAGAAACTGTACAGGCCTCAGCCTGTCTACCCAACTGTATCACCACTATTAAAATATTCCTTATTCTATTTATTTTACGGCATTGGAAGTTTATGTCAATGGTGCAGTGGTAATGTGCATGCTTCATGCTTATGAGGTTTGCAGATGAAGGAAATACATTTAATTAATGGACACTTTAGATGTTATAAGAACCTATGAAAATATTTAGATAATTTAAGAGGCATAAGCTAATTGGTGCTTCCCTAACATTCATCTACTGTCTTTTGAAATGTATTATGTTCTGTTTTTTCTTTGCACAGTGGTATTACAATGTGACGAATGGTTTTGAAAACCGACAAGTTGAAGAATTGAGACACTTATGCAACACATGGGAATCTTTATTGAAGAAACGTTTCGCCACACAGTGGCTTCATCAGTCCAATACAATGTAGAAGTGGGTAAGGAGAGTAGAAGTTTGAGGTAATCAGTCCCTCAACCTGGAATCGATGTGTTCAGTCCATCACTCTTGTAGGAAGTGCAGCATAGGGCCAGAGAGGTGGCTTATATACTGCGGTGAGATGAGTTGAAGCAGGAGGAGGGGGTATAACAGTGGGACCTGCCACTAGTGTAAGTAGGTCGTCGTCTTGGTACAAAGACTTCAACGCTTGCCCAACCTTTGGACGACGACCTACTTACACTAGTGGCAGGTCCCACTGTGATCCCGTCTCCTGCTTCAACTCATCTCACCGCAGTATATAAGTCACCTCTCTGGCCCTATGCTGCACTTCCTACAAGAGTGATGGACTGAACACATCGATTCCAGGTTGAGGGACTGATTACCTCAAACTTCTACTCTCCTTACCCACTTCTACTTTGTATTGGACTGATGAAGCCACTGCGTGGCGAAACGTTTCTTCAATAACGATTCCCATGTGTTGCATAAGTGTCTCAATTCTTCAACTTGTTGGTTTTCAAAACCATTCGTCACATCTGTCAGACACTGCAACATCATGGGATTTTGGTACAAAGACTTCAACGCTTGCCCAACCTTTGGATGACGACCTACTTACACTAGTGGCAGGTCCCACTGTGATCCCGCCTCCTCCTGCTTCAACTCATCTCACCGCAGTATATAAGCCACCTCTCTGGCCCTATGCTGCACTTCCTACAAGAATGATGGATTGAACACATCGATTCCAGGTTGAGGGACTGATTACCTCAAACTTCTACTCTCCTTACCCACTTCTACTTTGTATTGGACTGATGAAGCCAGTGTGTGGCAAAACGTTTCTTCAATAAAGATTCCCATGTGTTGCATAAGTGTCTCAATTCTCGGTGTTACAATGGTAGGCTAAGTCCATAACAATGGACCAGGCACACTCCCTCGCAAAATGCCGGCACTGACCGAGTTTCTAGCATTCTCTCCACTGAGAACTATTCTATTCTTGAAGGAAGTCACTAAGAGACTTCCAGTACTTGCAATTTTACCAAGAGTTCCTGATGCCATACCTTGTCAAAGGCACCAGAAATGTCCAGTGCTACTACACAGCTGATCTTGAATTCATTCAGTGGATGGTGCCACATAGTGGAGAAGTTGAACAGATCAGCTGCAAAGTGACATATTTTGATTCCATATTGACAGTGACAAAGGAGAGTAATAGTAAACAAGAAACTTCAACCATTCCCAGTAATTTTGGTGCATTATGGTACTTACACAGACCGGGCCACGGGGGCGTTGACCCCCGGAACTCTCTCCAGATAATACATGTGCAGTGAAAGTTTTCTGTATGTTCTCCTGGTCTGCAATTTTGCCTGCCTTTAAAAGGGCTGTTAGTGAACAGCAATATTCCAGCCTAGAGAGAACAAGCAATTTGAAGAGAATGATCACTGACTTGGCATTCCTAGTTCTGAAACTTCTCATTATCCATCCTATCATTTTCCTAGCAGATATGGTAGATACACTGTTGTGATCTTTGAAAGTAAGACCCTCTTGACATTATGACTCTCAGATCCTTCATTTGTTCTATTCTCCGATACAGTTTTTATTTCCTCGAGTTTTCCATAGCAGGATAAATGAAATTTGTCTTCACTGAAGTTCATATTGTTTTCTGATGCCCAGTTAAAGACTTGGTTCATGTCCGCTTGGAGATTTGCAGTGTCCTCGATAGATAACACTGTCATGCAAATTCTGATATCATCAGCAAAGGACACAGTGCTTTGACTTACATCCCTGTCTATGTCAGATATGCGGATGAGGAAAAGGATGGGGGCAAGTACTGTGCCTTGTGGAACAGAGCTTTTCACTGTAGCTGCCTCTGACTTTACTTTGTTTACTATAACTCTTTGTATTGTATTTGTCAGGAAGTTATAGATCCATCTACCCACTTTTCTTGCTATTCCTTTATCATGATTTATGTGCGATATTACACCATAACTGTACTTACAGAAGGCTTTTGCAAGGTCTGTGTATATTACATCTGCATTTTGATTGTCTTCCAGTGCATCCAAGACCATGTCATAGTGATCCAGCAGCTGTGAGAGGCAGGAGTGACCTGCTCTAAACCCATGCTGCCTTGGGTTGTGCAATTGATTGGTATCCAAGTAGTTGACGATCTTGCTTCTTAGAACCCTTTTAAAGATTTTTATGATGTGGGACGTTAGTGCTATCAGTCTGTAATTCTATGCAAATGCTTCACTGGCACCCTTGTGGAGTGGGGTTATATCTGTTGTTTTTAGTGACTGTGGGATGACCCATGTCTATGCTCCCTCTTCATAGAATAGTTAAGGCACATGAAAGGGATTTCTTGCAGTTCTCGATGAACACAGAGTTCCATGATGTAAGAGCACACAAAAGTTTTGCAATGTGCTCATGGTTCTTTAATATACAGGGATGAAGCAATAAAAAGCAAAATGAGAAAGCTGTATTAGGGAAGAGTGAGAACTTAGTGATTGATATGAGTAAATGAGGTATAGTACATCAAATGAGATTCATAAATATGACAGCTTTACTGGAAAAGAATATAGTGATAAATGTAGAATAGTGATTTTTATTTAGTTTTGTGATGCAAAAGAAATTAAAAGTAAATTAAAGGTAAAGAAGAAAGGAAATTCTATGAATAATTTTTTTTCAACAGAAGAGTAGTATTGGAATCTGTTGTTGGGACTGTTAAGGGTTACTGCATCTTAATGCTTGGTGTATGAATGTCTACATTATCCCCCAAGCAAGAAAGAAACTGGGTACAAATAATGATGACTTACCTATGAAAGGATAGAGGAGAAATACTACCACCAGGACAAACACAGTGCGGTTGTTGCTTAAGCTCGAGGATGCTCCAATCATCCGCTTTGGTATTAAAGGATCACATCGCACTATTCAAAACAAGGAGCACTCAATGAATTCATAATACTTTTGTCTGTACATACATTTGAACAAAGTGTTGTTATAATATATTTCACAAGATTAAATTTCACTGCAAAGCAACAATGTCTTACGATAAAATGTAAAATATTTCCATGTGAAAGCAGCTCAAAATTACTTAAAAACAAACACAGAAACAGTACATCTACTTGATTAAAAAACTTCATTCATAATGCAATATGTTTCATCAGTGAAATATTATGTACGTAATTTTTTTTTATATTTTTTAACAAGTCAGCCGTCTCCCACCGAGGCAGGGTGACCCAAAAAGAAAGAAAATCCCCAAAAAGAAAATACTTTCATCATCATTCAACACTTTCACCTCACCCACACAAAATCACTGTTTTTGCAGATGTGCTCAGAATACAACAGTTAGAAGCATATATGTATAAAGATATTGGCGGTTTGGAGGGATATGTTGTGTATCTTTATACGTATATGCTCGTAAATGTTTTCTCATTATTGTATATCATAAATGTCTAACCTGTGACCCAATCAAACTTTATTTTTTAATTACATTACCTAACAAAATACTACATTCTACTGAATGCTCAGCAACACAGTAAATGACCATATGACCTGTCTTTGTAATACTCATTTGTATTAAATTGTTATCTGTTTACAATAATGTTTTTACCACTGAATATATCATTGCTTAGCTAATCTTAAGTTAATTTTAAGCCTGCTCATAATGCTCTGCATACAAGGGGCTTTGACATGTTGCACTGTAATAACATTGTACTTCACTGTATCATGTTCAAATTAATATATAAATAAATAAATAAATAAGCTGTTGTATTCTGAGCACCTCTGCAAAAACTGATTATGTGTGAGGTGAAAATGTTGAATGATGATGAAAGTATTTTCTTTTTGGGGATTTTCTTTCTTTTTGGGTCACCCTGCCTCGGTGGGAGACGGCCAACTTGTTGAAAAAAAACAAAAAAAAAAAAAAACATGCAAGTGTAGTGTGACCTAAGTGTAAGTAGAAGCAGCAAGATGTACCTGAAATCTTGCATGCTTATGAGACAGAAAAAAGACACCAGCAATCCTACCATCATGTAAAACAATTACAGGCTTCCATTTTAGACTCACTTGGCAGGATGGTAGTACCTCCCTGGGCAGCTGCCATCTACCAACCTACTACCCAGGGAAGAATTTCATATACATCCTCAAATCTTTCATGTATTACCTTGGTACCGATATATATAAAGATACACAACATATCCCTCCAAACTGCCAATATGTCTTGAATTAAATCTTTAATGAGCAATCAACAGAAGTATCCCTGTTCTAAGTACATATTATAACTCCAAAGGTACCTTATAATATCTCCAAAGATACACAATATTTTAAAATTATCTTAGAAGGGCATGTGCAAGTATTTTAGTGTATATTTGTCATAACTTATTTGTGACTACTGAACCCTATTATTAGTTAGGGGAACACAGCTATGCTTATGGCATCTTATCTTCTATACAGGCAGGCCCTGCTTATACAGCAGGTTAAGTTCCGAGTTAATGCTGTAACATGTAAATTGCTGTAACGTGAAACATAGCCTTTATTTTCATTTTGGTACTTAAACAGCTCCCAACTCGAACAATTCGGTATTCGAATGCTTTGTTTGGTAAAAAAAAAATAGCTTGGTAGTAGATCGTTTGCTCAGCACTCGACCAAATAATTTGCATCAGTCTCCCCGCAGCTGTCGCTCAGTGCAAAACTCCGCTGAACTTCATTATAAACTATTTTGTGTTTATTCGCAATTTTTGGTGTTTTTTATATTATTTGTATAAATAAGTCACCATGGGATTTGAGATGATTAGTGATAACAGCCAACTGAAAAGAAAATTGGTTAAAGTCACAATAGAGATGAAAAATTATTATTAATTATTAATTATGGGAAAAATTTGTTTGGTACTCAAACAGCCTTCTGGAATGAATTAAGTTGAAGTACTGAGGTTCCGCTGTACTTACCTTAAATATTTCTGTCCTTAGCTTGTAGTGAATGGTGAATAAATTTATTGTAGGAAGTCTGAATGAATGAAGAATGGGTATAACTCAAAACCTGCAGCATTATTGAAATGCCATAGAGCGAGGCCTGCCTGTACTTAAGCTTGTCCTAGAATATTTTTGAAGTTTCCAGTGTTTACTGAATACTGAATACTGAATACACTACTACTACTTTCTCTTGAATCACATTACAGCTCTCTCTCTCATTATATTTGTGAAGAAATATTTTTGTCTTGTCTGTTCTCTTTTTGTGTTTATTCCTGTTCATGATATTAATTTTAATTAAATTTTTGTATGCTCAGTATGTCTTCCTGGATACCAGACTGTCTCAAAACATATACAGGATTATTTTCACGTTTATGGGGAGTAACTAATCCAACAAACAGTTCCATCATGTCTATTTCCCATTTTAGAGAAATTAGGATGTTGTTAGGGAGATAATGAGTGAAGAATTTCACCTTTTTCTTTCTTTCTTTCTTTCAACAAACCGGCCATATCCCACCAAGGCAAGGTGGCCCAAAAGGAAAAACGAGTTTCTCCTTTTAAATTTAGTAAGATATACAGGAGAAGGGGTTACTAGCCCCTTGCTCCCAGCATTTGAGTTGCCTCTTATGACACGCTTGGCTTACGAAGGAAGAATTCTGTTCCACTTCCCCATGGAGATGAGAGGAAATAAACAAGAATTAGTAAGAAAATAGAAGAAAACCCAGAGGGGTGTGTATATATATACCTGTACATGTGTGCGTGAGCGTGTTAGATAGGAGTGAATGGAGACGAATGGTACTTGGGACCTGACGATCTGTTGGAGTGTGAGCAGGGTAATATTTAGTGAAGGGATTCAGGGAAACCGGTTATTTTCATATAGTCGGACTTAAGTCCTGGAAATGGGAAGTACAATGCCTGCACTTTAAAGGAGGGGTTTGGGATATTGGCAGTTTGGAGGGATATACAGTGGACCCCCGCATAACGATCACCTCTGAATGTGACCAATTATGTAAGTGTATTTATGTAAGTGCGTTTGTACGTGTATGTTTGGGGGTCTGAAATGGACTAATCTACTTCACAATATTCCTTATGGGAACAAATTCGGTCAGTACTGGCACCTGAACATATTTCTGGAGTGAAAAAATATCGTTAACCGGGGGTCCACTGTATTGTGTATCTTTATACATGTATATGCTTCTAAACTGTTGTATTCTGAGCACCTCTGCAAAAACAGTGATTATGTGTGAGTGTGGTGAAAGTGTTGAATGATGATGAAAGCATTTTCTTTTTGGGGATTTTCTTTCTTTTTTGGGTCACCCTGCCTCGGTGGGAGACGGCCAACTTGTTGAAAAAAAAAAAAAAAAGACATGCAAGTGTAGTGTGACCTAAGTATAAATAGAAGCAGCAAGATGTACCTGAAATCTTGCATGCTTATAAGACAGAAAAAAGACACCAGCAATTCTACCATCATGTAAAACAATTACAGGCTTCCATTTTAGACTCACTTGGCAGGATGGTAGTACCTCCCTGGGCAGCTGCTGTCTACCAACCTACTACCCAGGGAAGAATTTCATATACATCCTCAAATCTTTCATGTATTACCTTGGTACCTGCCCAGAATGAGAAGAAGACTACACGTGCCAATGCCAGTCATATAGATCACCAAGAACTATGGGAAAAGAATGAGAATATTACAGAAAGCATAACAAATACATATCAAAGAGAATTTACTGTATCACCTAACTTCTTTAAAATATAAATTAATTGTCAAATACTGTATACGTGAAATTATTAAAAACATGTACAATGGACCCCCGCATACTGTTGGCCTTACATAACGTTAAATCCGCATACCGATACATTTTATCGCTAAGATTTTGCCTCGCATACCGCTAAAAAAACCCACTCAACGCTGTTCGTCCGAGATGCATCTAATGTGCGGCCTTAGCCAGCCTCACATGTTCCGCCGGTGGCATTGTTTACCAGCCAGCCTCCGCGGTAACATCCAAGCATACAATCGGAACATTTCGTATTATTACAGTGTTTTTGGTGATTTTATCTGCAAAATAAGTGACCATGGGCCCCAAGAAAGCTTCTAGTGCCAACCCTACAGGAATAAGGGTGAGAATTACTATAGAGATGAAGAAAGAGATCATTGATAAGTATGAAAGTGGAGTGCGTGTCTCCGAGCTGGCCAGGTTGTATAATAAACCCCAGTCAACCATCGCTACTATTGTGGGCAACAAAAAGGCAATCAAGGAAGCTGTTCTTGCCAAAGGTTCAACTGTGTTTTCGAAACAGAGATCGCAAGTGATGGAAGATGTTGAGAGACTCTTATTGGTGTGGATAAATGAAAAACAGATAGCAAGAGATAGCATCTCTCAAGTGATCATAAGTGAAAAGGCTAGGAAGTTGCATCAGGATTTAATTAAAAAAATGCCTGCAACTAGTGATGATGTGAGTGAATTTAAGGCCAGCAAAGGTTGGTTTGAGAGATTTAAGAAGCGTAGTGGCATACATAGTGTGATAAGGCATGGTGAGGCTGCCAGTTCAGACCACAAAGCAGCTGAAAAATATGTGCAGGAATTCAAGGAGTACATAGACAATGAAGGACTGAAACCTGAACAAGTGTTTAATTGTGATGAAACAGGCCTGTTTTGGAAGAAAATGCCAAGCAGGACCTACATTACTCAGGAGGAAAAGGCACTCCCAGGACATAAGCCTATGAAAGACAGGCTTACTCTGTTGATGGTGTTCCAATGCTAGTGGTGATTGCAAAGTGAAGCCTTTATTAGTGTATCACTCAGAAACTCCCAGAGCGTTCAGGCAAAAGAATATCCTTAAGGCTAATTTGTGTGTGCTGTGGAGGGCAAACAGTAAGGCATGGGTCACTAGGGACTTTTTCTATGACTGGTTACACCATGCATTTGCCCCCAATGTGAAAGATTACCTAACTGAAAAGAAATTAGACCTTAAGTGCCTCCTGGTGTTAGACAATGCCCCTGGTCATCCTACAGATGTGGCAGAGTGACTTTATGGGGACATGAGGTTCATTAAGGTGAAGTTTTTGCCTCCTAATACCACTCCTCTCCTGCAGCCCATGGACCAGCAGGTTATTGCAAACTTCAAAAAACTGTACACAAAAGCTCTGTTTGAAAGGTGCTTTGTAGTGACCTCAGAAACTCAACTGACTCTAAGAGAGTTTTGGAGAGATCACTTTAATATCCTCAATTGTGTAAACCTTATAGGTAAGGCTTGGGAGGGAGTGACTAAGAGGACCTTGAACTCTGCTTGGAAGAAACTGTGGCCAGAATGTGTAGACCAAAGGGATTTTGAAGGGTTTCAGGCTAACCCTGAGAGGAGTATGCCAGTTGAGGAATCCATTGTGGCATTGGGAAAGTCCTTGGGGTTGGAGGTTAGTGGGGATGATGTGGAAGAGTTGGTGGAGGAGGACAATGAAGAACTAACCACTGATGAGCTGCTAGATCAACTTCAACAGCAAGAGGCCAGACCTGAGGAAACTGGTTCGGAGGAGGGGAGAGAGAAATTGAAGAAGTTGCCTACTACAAAGATTAAGGAAATCTGTGCAATGTGGCTGAAAGTGCAAACCTTTATGGATGAAAATCACCCTCACACAGCTATTGCAAGTCGTGCTGGTGACTATTACACTGACAGTGTTGTGAAACACTTTAGGTAAGTCATAAAGGAACGAGAGGTACAGGTCACTATGGACAGATATGTTGTGCGACAGAAGTCCAGTGACTCTGAAGCTGGTCCTAGTGGCATTAAAAGAAGAAGGGAAGTAACCCCAGAAAAGGACTTGACACCTCAAGTCTTAATGGAAGGGGATTCCCCTTCTAAACATTAAGACTCTCTCCTCCCATCCCATCAATCATCACCAGATCTTCAATAAAGGTAAGTGTCATGTAATTGTGCATGCCTTTTTCAGTTTGTGTGTATTAAAATTAATATTTCATGTGGTAAAAATGTTTTTTTTTCATACTTTGGGGTGTCTTGCACGGATTAATTTGATTTCCATTATTTCTTATGGGGAAAATTCATTTGCATAACGATAATTTCGCATAACAATGAGCTCTCATGAACGGATTAATATCGTTATGTGGGGGTCCACTGTATAGTACTGTATTCCAAAAAAATAAGCATTTGTTACAGACTGTGAAAGAAGTATTAAAGAATCAAACCAATATAAAATACTTGAAAATATTAGCATATTTGATTCTTCATTCTGAATTACAGAGATTTTGAAACTTTACCACATCATGAAGCTTGATAGAGAGGATAAGTGACCCCAAGTATGAAGGCTGAGGCCGCAGGAACCCTGCTCCCTCCATCCCGATCCGTAACAGAGTTTTACTACCAGAAGAGTTTCCAACCAATACCTGTAACAATCTTTAATTGAAGAATACTGCAATTAGAAAAATACATGTAAATTAAACCCTTGTATATTCAAGAGGCCATGCTCAAACCTTTACATATTCAAGAGTTCACTTTCCAATATCTCTCTTGAAGGGAAGAAAGTTACTGCATTCAACCTTCAGCAAAAAAAAATTTTTTTAACACATCAGCCACTTCCCACCGAGGCAGGGTAACCCAGAACGAAAGAAAAACCCAAAAATTTTAACAGCCCATAATGTTCTTGTCTTGTACTCCAAAAATTCTGATGCTATTTGATTATTGATGATGCAATGAGTTCTTGTTATACAGTGGACCCCCGGATAACGATCAGCTCCCAACTCGACCAATTATGTAAGTTTATTTTTGTAAGTGCTTTTGTAGGTGTATTTTTAGGGGTCTGAAATGGACTAATCTAATTCACAATATTTCTTATGGGAACAAATTCGGTCTATAACGGCACCCAAACAGACTTCTGGATTGAAATAATATCGTTATGCGGGAGTCCACTGTATTTACTCAAGTTTCTATGCGATCATTACTCTCAAAATAGTTTACTGTTTGTTTTACCTATAATAGTATGTATGCAAGAGGCACCACTGCAAGCACTCTGCCCCTGTAATCAAGCTTCGTTAATTTTTATTTTTTGGTTAAACTAACATCAATAAATATATTCAACCATTGTTTTCTCTTATTTTCCTAGTATTGCATGGGCTTAAGACTTGCCCAAAATGCAATTTATATAAAGACCTTCTAAACAATAAATACAGTGCAGTGGACCCTTGGCTAACGAATGCATCGCATAAAATTAAATCTTCCTAACGAAGCGTTTGAGCGTAAAAGTTTTGGCCTGCCTAACAATAAAAAACTCGCCGAACGTGATTCGTTCCGAACCTGTCTGTCCAGCCTGAGCGCCTCAGCTGCCCTGCTGTCATTTTTACAAGCCAGGGTGGCCGGTTTCATGCATACATTCGATACATTTTGTATCATTCCATTGGTTATAGTGCTTATAACTGCTAAATAAGCCACCATGGTCCCAAATAAAGCTTCTAGTGCCAACCCTGTGGTATAAAGGGTGAGAAATACTATTGTACCATGGTCAGCTGCTGCTGCACCACCGTCAGCTGTTGCTGCACCACCGTCAGCTGTACTACTTGAATTATTGTTGGTGTGGCTTAACGAGAAACAATCAACCCCAGAGGGTCAGCTACCCATGATAACCCAAGAAAGCCAGTGAGTCATCACGGACTGTCTAACTTATTTCCATTGGGGTCCTTAATCTTGTCCCCCAGGATGCGACCCACACCAGTCGACTAACACCCAGGTGAACAGGAAAAAATGCCTGGAACTAGTGCTCATATTGGTGAATTTAAGGCCAGCAAAGGTTGGTTTGGGAGATTTATGAATCATGATAAGGCATGGCGAAGCTGAAAAATTCCAACCCCAACAAGTGTTCAATTGTGACGAAACAGGCCTGTTTTGGAAGAAAATGCCAAACAGGACCTACATTACTCAGGAGGAAAAGGCACTCCTAGGACACAAGCCTATGAAAGACAGGCTAACTTTTTTGTTTTGTTGTAATGCTAGTGGGGACTGCAAAGTGAAGCCTTTACTCATGTATCACTCTGAAAATACCAGTGTTCAAAAAAAACAGTGTCTCATCACTCATCAATACTCTACAATAAAGGTGTCATTTTAACATTTATTTATATAGTTACTGTGCATGTCTCATTGTTTTCTTTGTACGGAAATGTATATTTCATGAAAAAAAAATTATTTTTTTAATACTTTTGGCTGTCTGGAACGGATTAATTGGATTTCCATTATTTCTTATGGGAAAATTAATTTGGCTAACGATAATTTCATCTAACGATGAGCTCTCAGGAATGGATTAATATCATTAGCCGAGGGTCCACTGTATTCTGCAAGCAACTTATGCCAAGCCCCATCTAATGAATTTGTAACCATAAGTAATGTGTAAGAGCAAGGGGCTAGTAACCCCTTCTGTATAAATTAATAAATTTAAAAAGAAAAACTTTTGTACAGGAGAAGGGGTTACTAGCCCCTTGCTCCCGGCACTGTAGTCGCCTACTGACAATTTAGATTACTGTAAATATACTTTTGAAACTGCATATGAGAATATTCGTATTTGTATAAACACTATTTTGATCATTTCTATAATTATCAAAAAAATTGTAAAATAAATTACAGTAACAGTACAAGATAGCTAAATAGTGAGTCAAAGAGGTAAAATAAATATATGAACATGCGGACACAGGTACAAGTATGAAAAACAAATCACAGAACAACTGTGGCTTGGACCTATGGCAAGACAGGCTTAAAACTTTTTTTTCAACAAACCGGTCATATCCCACTGTGGCAATGCAAACTAAAAAGAGAAACGACAAGTTGTGCAAGTGTTGCAGTATCTGACAAGTTGTGCAACTTGTTGCACAACTTGTCAGACACTGCAACATCATGGAATCTTGGTTCAGAGGACATCTACAAGACCTTCTTCACGGCTGCTGCAACTAACCCATCTCTATGGGAAGGACCTACTTCCACTGGGGAATCCCGCCTACCAGTAACTATGCCCTCGTCTGCTGCATGTCCTTATCCACTGACGCCTATATAACCGCCAGTCTTCTTGCCTTTGCTCCAGATTCTCCTCCACCACGATGCTGTGAACACTAACTCCAAGGCTGAGGGACTGATTACCTCATCTTTTGTATATAGCTCTACAGTCTTCCAATTATGTCCTAGAATTTGTGTTGATAAAGCCACTGGATGGCGAAACGTCTACATTAAAGATATCCAGATGTTGCACATGTGTCTTTACTTTCGTAAAAAGAGAAACGAAAGTTTTTCTTCTTAAGTTTAGTAGCTTATACAGGAGAAGGGGTTACCAGCCCCTTGATCCCAGCATTTTAGTCACTACTTATGAGGAGATAAGAAATAAAGAAGAACAAGAACTATTAAAAAAATAGAAGAAAACCCAGATGTGTACATATGCATATACATGCATGTGTAGTGTGACCTAAGTGTAAGTAGAAGTAGCAAAATATACCTGGTATCCCATGTGGTTATGAGACAGAAAAAAACAAAAAGACACCAACAATCCTACCATCATGTAAAACAATAGACTTAAAACTATCAGTCCCAACATAGATCTACGTTTTCTCACGTAGCGCTCTGAACGTAGATCTACTTTTTTTTTTACATGCTTTCTCATGGAGAAAATCAAGGTCGGAGCACTACGCACATAAACATAGATCTACGTTTGGACAGTTTAAGGGTTAAAACTTGCCATGGGTTCTTGCCCCATTCATTCTGCTATTTGTTTGCAATTGTGTTAATATGATTTTGTGAGTCATGCAGAACAAACATTTATTTGGACAACATTTCCCTCTAGGTAGGGCTTTTTTCAATTTCTCAGTTGAGAACACTGTCCAAATACAGGCTAGTTCTACATACACTTATATCTGATAAAATATTTTATTTGGTGAGAGTGTAAGTCCCACCAAATAAAATATTGTCATGTACCATGCAATAATTTTTAATTTACTGTCATGAGTGTATGCTTGTTAAATGCATTCATTAGAAGTAGTTTTATTCAATATCTATATATGTCTACAGTCCATGCTTATTATACAATGTTTATGTTCTATTAGGATATAAAATGATCTATTAGTCTGTTAGCTTGCCCGCCCAAAATGCTCTGTATAGCCAGGGGTTGTCCATGTGTACCATTAACCCTTTGACTGTCGCGGCCGTATATATACGTCTTACGAGGTACCGTGTTTGACGTACATATACTACTCATAAATTCTAGCGGCTTCAAATCAAGCAGGAGAAAGCTGATAGGCCCACATGTGAGAGAATGGGTCTGTGTGGTCAGTGTGCACCACGTAAAAAAAATCCTGGCGCACGCAGTGCATAATGAGAAAAAAAAACCTCCGACTGTTTTTTTTTAATTAAAATGCCGACTTTGTGGTCTATTTTCGTATAGTATTTATGGTTGTATTCTCGTTTTCTTGGTCTCATTTGATAGAATGGAAAATATATTATAGAAATAGAGGTGATTTTGATTGATTTTACTATAAAAAGAACCTGGAAATGGAGCACAAAGTACGGGAAATGTTTGATTTTTGCCGATGTTCAAAAGTAAACAAATGATGTCATTGTCCAATAAATGTCCAAATAGCCATACTAATATGCAGTCATGAATGGGTTGATGTAATTTATACAATTATTACAATATTGCAATAGTCTGCATAACAGTAAATCTTCTATTTTTTGTTTGAATAAAATTTCAAAATAAAAAGCAAGAATAATATCAGAGGGGCCTGGAGACATGACTGATGAACAAAGAAAATGTTATTTTAGAGCTAGGAATGTCTGCTTTGTTCATTCTGGTCCTTATTTTGAAATTGTCATATTTTTTATTTTTCGTGAAATTGGCCAAATTGCAAATTTCTGACCATGTTATTGGGTAGTTGAAATCAGTAAATGGGCAGTTTCTTGTACTCAATCGATAGAAAAAAATGGAGTTCTGAAGAAATAACTATGAGTTTGGTTGACTGGAATAATGGAATTAGCCAAAAATAGGGCTCAAAGTGGGCGAAATCGCCGATTTGTAAATATCGCCGAGGTCGCTAACTTCGCGAGAGCGTAATTCCGTCAGTTTTCCATCAAATTGCGTTTTTTTGGTGTCTTTACAATCGGGAAAAGATTCTCTATCATTTCATAAGAAAAAATATTTTTTTTTTTTTTAAATTTTGCGACACCAGGAGACACCTCAGGATTGGGGGTTGCGACAGTCAAGGGGTTAAATGTCATCCAGTTTTGTAAAAACAATACAGATTGTGGAAATAAATTACAGTGTATTAGCAGTGGCGGCTCGTAGAGCTAGTAATACCTATTTTTTTTTTTTTATTATCACACCGGCCGATTCCCACCAAGGCAGGGTGGCCCGAAAAAGAAAAACTTTCACCATCATTCACTCCATCACTGTCTTGCCAGAAGGGTGCTTTACACTACAGTTTTTAAACTGCAACATTAACACCCCTCCTTCAGAGTGCAGGCACTGTACTTCCCATCTCCAGGACTCAAGTCCGGCCTGCCGGTTTCCCTGAATCCCTTCATAAATGTTACTTTGCTCACACTCCAACAGCACGTCAAGTATTAAAAACCATTTGTCTCCATTCACTCCTATCAAACACGCTCACGCATGCCTGCTGGAAGTCCAAGCCCCTCGCACACAAAACCTCCTTTACCCCCTCCCTCCAACCCTTCCTAGGCCGACCCCTACCCCGCCTTCCTTCCACTACAGACTGATACACTCTTGAAGTCATTCTGTTTCTCTCCATTCTCTCTACATGTCCGAACCACCTCAACAACCCTTCCTCAGCCCTCTGGACAACAGTTTTGGTAATCCCGCACCTCCTCCTAACTTCCAAACTACGAATTCTCTGCATTATATTCACACCACACATTGCCCTCAGACATGACATCTCCACTGCCTCCAGCCTTCTCCTCGCTGCAACATTCATCACCCACGCTTCACACCCATATAAGAGCGTTGGTAAAACTATACTCTCATACATTCCCTCTTTTGCCTCCAAGGACAAAGTTCTTTGTCTCCACAGACTCCTAAGTGCACCACTCACTCTTTTTCCCTCATCAATTCTATGATTCACCTCATCTTTCATGGGACCCATCCGCTGACACGTCCACCCCCAAATATCTGAATACGTTCACCTCCTCCATACTCTCTCCCTCCAATCTGATATTCAATCTTTCATCACCTAATCTTTTTGTTATCCTCATAACCTTACTCTTTCCTGTATTCACCTTTAATTTTCTTCTTTTGCACACCCTACCAAATTCATCCACCAATCTCTGCAACTTCTCTTCAGAATCTCCCAAGAGCACAGTATCATCAGCAAAGAGCAGCTGTGACAACTCCCACTTTGTGTGTGATTCTTTATCTTTTAACTCCACGCCTCTTGCCAAGACCCTCGCATTTACTTCTCTTACAACCCCATCTATAAATATATTAAACAACCACGGTGACATCACACATCCTTGTCTAAGGCCTACTTTTACTGGGAAAAAATTTCCCTCTTTCCTACATACTCTAACTTGAGCCTCACTATCCTCGTAAAAACTCTTCACTGCTTTCAGTAACCTACCTCCTACACCATACACTTGCAACATCTGCCACATTGCCCCCCTATCCACCCTGTCATACGCCTTTTCCAAATCCATAAATGCCACAAAGACCTCTTTAGCCTTATCTAAATACTGTTCACTTATATGTTTCACTGTAAACACCTGGTAATACCTATACTATCATAAATACATTGAAAACAACATACAACTGATTTTTTCTGTAGTACATTTGTCAGTTGTAAATTATTTTAGTGTAAGGTTGACGAAGTCATATGTCTGGCAGTGAGCATCCGTGGGGACTGCAGCTCTGCAGCTCCTATGGATGAGCCGCCACTGATTATTACATATTATTATTATTATTATTGTTATTATCATCATTACTAATATTATTTAACCACAAACCATTAACATTATGCCCTTCAAACAACATATGAGCATACCTGTAAGTTCTTAACAAAATCTTCTTCCTTCACATGTGGCTCCCATGTGTCTGTCTGCACATCAACTGTGGCAGTGTAGAGTGGGCCATATTTGTGCTTGCAAGTTATCCAGTGTCCAAGATTATCATCAACTCGCACTGACACTGCAGAAATCTCCTCATTTGTAAACACAAGTAACCTGCAATGAACATACAACACCTTAAACCCCAGTTAAAAGTTTTGATAAAAATAAAATACATGTACATAATATTTTATATAAGACCTGCATAGTAATGGTCTAGTAAAAGACAGATGTTATCTAATGTTTGGGACAATGTTTAATATTTGATTTTCCTACATGTTCTATTATGAATTTATAAGCAATGCTGTTTACAGTTAGCCTCAATAGTATGGTAACTAATCAAACAGTGGTGCATCAGCAACACTAGCATGCAAGTTTACAGGTTGTGAAATAAAATAAAATTCAGGAATTGAAAACAGTAGTCTCTGAATATACTGTACTCTTAATATAGAAAATGTATAGATTTTTTTTTTTATTATCACACTGGCCGATTCCCACCAAGGCAGGGTGGCCCGAAAAAGAAAAACTTTCACCATCATTCACTCCATCACTGTCTTGCCAGAAGGGTGCTTTACACTACAGTTTTTAAACTGCAACATTAACACCCCTCCTTCAGAGTGCAGGCACTGTACTTCCCATCTCCAGGACTCAAGTCCGGCCTGCCGGTTTCCCTGAACCCATTCATAAATGTTACTTTGCTCACACTCCAACAGCATGTCAAGTATTAAAAACCATTTGTCTCCATTCACTCCTATCAAACACGCTCACGCATGCCTGCTGGAAGTCCAAGCCCTCGCACACAAACCTCCTTTACCCCCTCCTTCCAACCTTTCCTAGGCCGACCCCTACCCCGCCTTCCTTCCACTACAGACTGATACACTCTTGAAGTTATTCTGTTTCGCTCCATTCTCTCCACATGTCCGAACCACCTCAACAACCCTTCCTCAGCCCTCTAGACAACAGTTTTGGTAATCCCGCACCTCCTCCTAACTTCCAAACTACGAATTCTCTGCATTATATTCACACCACACATTGCTCTCAGACATGACATCTCCACTGCCTCCAGCCTTCTTCTCGCTGCAACATTCATCACCCATGCTTCACACCCATATAAGAGCATTGGTAAAATTTATACTCTCATACATTCCCCTCTTTGCTCCAAGGACAAAGTTCTTTGTCTCCACAGACTCCTAAGTGCACCACTCACCCTTTTCCCCTCATCAATTCTATGATTCACCTCATCTTTCATAGACCCATCCGCTGACACGTCCACTCCCAAATATCTGAATACATTCACCTCCTCCTTTACTCTCTCCCTCCAATCTGATATCCAATCTTTCATCACCTAATCTTTTTGTTATCCTCATAACCTTACTCTTTCCTGTATTCACTTTCAATTTTCTTCTTTTGCACACCCTACCAAATTCATCCACCAATCTCTGCAACTTCTCTTCAGAATCTCCCAAGAGCACAGTGTCATCAGCAAAGAGCAACTGTGACAACTCCCACTTTATGTGTGATTCTTTATCTTTTAACTCCACGCCTCTTGCCAAGACCCTCGCATTTACTTCTCTTACAACCCCATCTATAAATATATTAAACAACCACGGTGACATCACACATCCTTGTCTAAGGCCTACTTTTACTGGGAAATAATTTCCCTCTTTCCTACATACTCTAACTTGAGCCTCACTATCCTCGTAAAAACTCTTCACTGCTTTCAGTAACCTACCTCCTACACCATACACCTGCAACATCTGCCACATTCCCCCCCTATCCACCCTGTCATACGCCTTTTCCAAATCCATAAATGCCACAAAGACCTCTTTAGCCTTATCTAAATACTGTTCACTTATATGTTTCACTGTAAACACCTGGTCCACACACCCCCTACCTTTCCTAAAGCCTCCTTGTTCATCTGCTATCCTATTCTCCGTCTTACTCTTAATTCTTTCAATAATAACTCTACCATACATTTTGCCAGGTATACTCAACAGACTTATCCCCCTATAATTTTTGCACTCTCTTTTATCCCCTTTGCCTTTATACAAAGGAACTATGCATGCTCTCTGCCAATCCCTAGGTACCTTACCCTCTTCCATACATTTATTAAATAATTGCACCAACCACTCCAAAACTATATCCCCACCTGCTTTTAACATTTCTATCTTTATCCCATCAATCCCGGCTGCCTTACCCCCTTTCATTTTACCTACTGCCTCACGAACTTCCCCCACACTCACAAGTGGCTCTTCCTCACTCCTACAAGATGTTGTTCCTCCTTGCCCTATACACGAAATCACAGCTTCCCTATCTCATCAACATTTAACAATTCCTCAAAATATTCCCTCCATCTTCCCAATACCTCTAACTCACCATTTAATAACTCTCCTCTCCTATTTTTAACTGACAAATCCATTTGTTCTCTAGGCTTTCTTAACTTGTTAATCTCACTCCAAAACTTTTTCTTATTTTCAACAAAATTTGTTGATAACATCTCACCCACTCTCTCATTTGCTCTCTTTTTACATTGCTTCACCACTCTCTTAACCTCTCTCTCTTTTTCTCCATATACTCTTCCCTCCTTGCATCACTTCTTCTTTGTAAAAACTTATCATATGCTAACTTTTTCTCCCTTACTACTCTCTTTACATCATCATTCCACCAATCGCTCCTCTTCCCTCCCGCACCCACTTTCCTGTAACCACAAACTTCTGCTGAACACTCCAACACTACATTTTTAAACCTACTCCATACCTCTTCGACCCCATTGCCTATGCTCTCATTAGCCCATCTATCCTCCAATAGCTGTTTATATCTTACCCTAACTGCCTCCTCTTTTAGTTTATAAACCTTCACCTCTCTCTTCCCTGATGCTTCTATTCTCCTTGTATCCCATCTACCTTTTACTCTCAGTGTAGCTACAACTAAAAAGTGACCTGATATATCTGTGGCCCCTCTATAAACATGCACATCCTGAAGTCTACTCAACAGTCTTTTATCTACCAATACATAATCCAACAAACTACTGTCATTTCGCCCTACATCATATCTTGTATACTTATTTATCATCTTTTTCTTAAAATATGTATTACCTATAACTAAACCCCTTTCTATACAAAGTTCAATCAAAGGGCTCCAATTATCATTTACACCTGGCACCCCAAACTGTATAGATATATTACAGTAATACACCATAAAACAATAATGAAAGTATACAAATATGTGGTAAATCCTAAACAGGGTACAGGAATACAACACTCTGAAGTATGAATAATTACTGTCTGTGAAAGGTTTCATGAGTCACTAATGGAAAAACCTATCAGTTGACCTCTTATTACACCTGTAATAAAGTCTGTAAATTTTTTTTGCCCAGTCAGTTTTCCACTTTCCTTCTCTGGTGCACCTAAAAACCTGCACTTCCTTATCACCTATGCCACCAGCTGTGTGGGCTGTAAGCATCAGTTAGTATAGGCTAAGGAAGAACAATTGATATACAGAGGCAGCAGATGCCATGGTTCATGGGATCTTCTAGAGAAAGTAGTTTTTCATATTTCAAAATGTTATATTCTGTATTCAGGTTCCATGAACCCTAATAGAATCCTAACACAAGCATCCAGTTTTATGATAGAGGCAACTGTATGGTACAGTATATTGTAAGGTGGGAGCCTCAGAGACAAGAAGCTCTTTGTCTGTTGAGCACTTTCTTTTAAATCAAACTACTAGAAAGACTCATCTGCAGGGATGGAAAGAAGATTACTTAATACAGGCCCTGGGTAATACCCTTCATCCTAAATGTGGGGGCACTTTTAAAGCTTGCCTCTCTGTTAGGCAGAAAAATCACGATTATTACATGCACAAGAACAGTTTTATGTAAACTGATTTTTAATGCATTAAAGCTGTGAAGAGTAACTTTTCTGTTCAGAAGATAAGTTGGATGGAGTAATGAAACTCAAGCAATGATATTAAAAGAAACCTGTTACTCCAGGGATTATTATACAGTTGCAAGATTAATATTCAAAGAATAAAGAAACCAATGGTGAGAATACAATGAGATTAGATTCCAAGGATATATTTCAGTTTTATGATGCTTTATTTATCTACAGAGTGAACATTAATTACAATAGCAAAATGCATCTAATAAGTTTTTATGCATCTTGCAGAATTGCACACATGCTTTTAATCTGCATGACGCAAGATTACATCTGAATTCTAGAGTCACAGAATGTAATACAGCTACAAGACATGCTTTATTACTTACAATTCACATTTATCACTATGCACAAATAGTACAATGACTTCAGTACAGAACTCCATACTCTGTCAAAAATGTCCATAGTCCAGCATGTAGCTGCTACTATGCCAAGCATCCATAATCTGGCAGAGAGTGGCTACTCTGCCAAACATCCATAATTCAGCATGGAGTGATTACTCCGCCAAACATACACAATCCTGCACTGAGCGACTTGCAGCCATCACAATGGAGACTTTTGCCAAACAATGGTACATAAAACAATTTTTACCTGTAAAGGCACCAGTGTGAGGTCCCTTTCAATCATATATTATTAATAGGTTCTAATCTCGCCAATAAAATCCCACGCACCAATGCCCATGCCGGGGACTACCTAGATGGGAATTTCCCAAATTCCTTCTATCTTGCTTCAACTGAGCCCATGGAAGTCACCGAGATTATAAAGTCACTTAAAAATAACTCAGGGAATCTGTCTCATGTCCCACCATTATTGTACAAGAGAGCAGCCCATGTCCTCTCGCATGCTATCTCATTACTTTTTAACAAGTCACTAGAAACTAGCACCTTCCCGAAACTACTCAAGACGGCAAGGGTTACACCAATACATAAAGGTGGTGACCCTACAGATTTAAACAACTATAGGCCAATATCAAACTTACCATTGCTATCCAAAATCTTTGAGAAACTCGTGCACAGGAGACCATATTCATTTATAACGGCACAAAACATACTCAACCCCTGCCAATTTGGATTCAGGAAAAATAAAAGCACTAACGATGCAATCATAAAAATTCTAGATCTGCTTTACACAGCATTGGAAAATAAGGAATATCCACTAGGAATTTTTATTAACCTAAGAAAAGCTTTTGACACAGTAGACCATGGCATCCTACTCCACAAACTTGACCATTATGGTATAAGAGGCCACGCACTTGCATATTTCAAATCTTACCTTACTAATAGGTATCAGTATGTCACCATTAAAGACACAGCATCAACAACACAGCCACTTGATACTGGAGTTCTGCAGGGAAGTGTCCTTGGTCCCCTGCTCTTCCTCATATACATCAATGATCTTCCAAACGTATCTCAACACCTGAACCCCATTCTCTTTGTTGACGACACGACTTATGTCATCTCTCACCCTAATCTTGCCACCCTCAACACCATTGTTAATGAGGAGCTGATCAAAATATCGACTTGGATGACAGCCAATAAACTTACGCTTAACACTGACAAAACCTACTACATTATGTTTGGTAGCAGAGCAGGAGATGCGCAAATTAACATTAAGATCGACAACACTCTAATTGCCAGGCATAATGAGGGCAAATTCCTAGGCCTATACCTCGACAACAACCTGAACTTCAGCACCCATATCCAACACATAACCAAAAAAGTATCCAAAACGGTTGGGATCCTCTCCAAGATACGATACTACGTGCCGCAAAACTGCCCTTCTCACACTATACCATTCACTTATATATCCATACCTCACCTATGCTATCTGTGCTTGGGGTTCAACTGCAGCAACACACCTAAAGCCAATAATAACCCAACAAAAAGCCGCAGTAAGAATAATCACTAAATCCCATCCCTGACAACACACCCCCCCACTCTTCATAGATCTAAACTTACTCCCTGTTCAGTACATCACACTTACTACTGTGCAATCTACATCTACAGGACCTTAAATTCCAATATTAACCTTGACCTAAAACGCTTTCTTGATAGTTGCGACAGAACCCACAGGCACAACACCAGACCAAACATCTCTATGATATTCCCCGTGTCCGACTAAACCTTACAAAAATTCAATGTATGTCAAAGGCCCTAAAATCTGGAACACCCTACCTGAAAATTCTAAAACTGCAGACACATTCATCACCTTCAAAACTACCATCAGAAAACATCTTATCTCCCTGATACACCCTGTCAACTAATTACACGAATACCACCTGGTGGTTAACACTTACACTCACTCACCCATTTGACCATAAACAGAAATATCAATCTCAATCTCAAAATAATGAATCTTAACTAGTCAAAGTTGGCCTGTGATACTCCAATACTGAAACTATGTATAGTGCCAAAACAAAAGCATTCACATTGCTAAACTCACAAACAAGTATTTACTCACTTAGCCATAATACCAACTTACCTCATAATTTTGTAATATTTTAAACTTAAGATTTAATTTAAGTCTGCCCGAAATGCCTAGCCATGCTAGGTGTTCTAGTGGTACACTCTGTAATTATTATTTTACTACATGTAAACCACACAATAACCAAATTCTGTAAACTCAGCATTGTAATCCTTATAGAGAATAAACTTTGAATTAAATTAACATGAGGCCTGGTCACAGACTGGGCCGCGGGGGCGTTGACCCCCGGAACTCTCTCCAGGTAAATATTCCAAGTCATGTGAAATGAAAATACAAAGAGTTAAAGGGAATAAATATTGCCAAGATGGCAAAATTTGCAATGAAACTTTTTTAAGAATAAAAAATGACTATCTGGGGATCAAAGGAGTGCTCACTTTGTAATACAGCATTTTAAACTATCTATTAGTAAATTCTGAGTCTCATTATGGCCTGAGACACTCTTTAAAGCTCTTATTTACCACACATGTGACATATTCCCACATGGACCCCTCAAGGTGCCATGACAACAAAAGGAAAAAATAACTGACAAAGTGAAAAGACTTAACAAGGAAATACTACTTAATTTAAATAAGTTTTGTTCATAGGAATAGTATGAATATTCATGAAAAATGTTAAAAATGCTAAAGTACATACAAAAAAAAAAAAAAAAAAAAAAGGATGGTTAGAAATTTAAATAAACAGAAGATAAAAAAAAATTAATTTAGTAACTCACCTGACAATATATCTAACAGAGGCCTGGCCTTTTGGGTAGCGCCCAACACTTGATACAATCACAACTGGCCACGAAGGATGAGTGATATCTAGCCATGTCACTTGCCCATTGTCAACAGTCAATATACGATACCTGAAAACAACATGCATTTCTATTACCAGATTTTAGTATTGTAAATAGGTATAAAGACATTATAGAACCTGATATAATTTAATCACATCTGAGCAATTACAGAAGGTATCCCTAGCCTCCTATCCAAGTACTGTATATCTCATGTTACGAACTGTTTTATTAAAAAAAAAAAATCAAATTTTTATTTTTTTTTGCATAGTTTACATGCCTGAGCATTTCGAGAAAAAATAATATCAAGCAAATGTTTCCCTTCCTCTCTTCTTTTATGCATTTTCCCTCTCCTGCTCACTGCCTTCCACAACTATTAAGCCCTTCCTCAAACCTGCATTTATATAAAAAAAATGTGCTGATTAATAACAGTAATGTGTATATTTCCTCATAATTCATTAATTAAAATGCTTAAAAACTCCCAAAACTGAAATACAGTGGAACCCCTCATTTTTTCTTTAACCCTTAAACGGTCCAAACGTATATATACATTCACGCGTGTAGCGCCCCAAATGTATATACAGGTCTCCCTCAACATTCGCGAGGGTTAGGGGATCAAGAGCCTCGCGAATGTTGAAAAACCGTGAATGTTTGGTGCCCCAATATATTGTAGGGAAATATATTACAATACTGCTTCCTTAACTTGTTGAACCATGAATAATCATAAAATACATGAAAATGTCGTAAATTGTACTAAATATATACATGTTATGCTTTAATAATGTATGTTATTTAACCCTTTGAGGGTTTTGGTCGTACTAGTACGTTTTACGAGTAGGGGTTTTTGACGTACTAGTACTCATAAATTCTAGCGGCCTCAAATCTAGTGGGAGAAAGCTGGTAGGCCTTCATATGAAAGAATGGGTCTATGTGGTCAGTGTGCACAGTCTAAAAAAAATCCTGCAGCACACAGTGCATAATGAGAAAAAAAAAACTTTGACCACTTTTTTTTAATAAATCAGCGACTTTGCAGTGTATTTTCGTATGGTATTTATTGTTGTATTCTAGTTTTCTTGGTCTCATTTTATAGAATGGAAGACATATTACAGAAAATGAGATGATTTTGACTGGTTTTACAATGAAAGGTGCCTTGAAATTGAGCTCAAAGTAGCAGAAATGTTCGATTTTTACCAAACTTCAAAAGTAAACAAATCGTGCCAAGCGTGCAATACACGTCAACTGGTGAGTCTAATATTCATTTACAAGTGCACCAATAATATTTATACCATTTTTTACACTAATGCAGTAGTCTGCATAACAGTAAATCTTATATTTTTTGTGAGAATAAAAATTCAAAGTGGAAAGCAAAAGAATATAAGAGGGGCCTTGAGACGTGACTAATGACTAGAGGAAATGTCATTTTAGTGCCAGGAATGTCTTTCTTGTTTATTCTGGACCCTATTCCGAAATTGGCATCTTTTGAAATTTGTGTGAAATTGGCAAAATTGCTAAATTCTGACCACTGTACAGGATAGTTGAATTTCATAAATGGGTGGTTTCTTGCACCCATTCGATAGAAAAAATGGAGTTCTAGCGAAATATTCATGTTTTTTGTCGACTAGTACAGTGAAATTGGCCGAAAATGGGGCTCAAAGTGGGCAAAATCGCCGATGCGTAAACATCGCCGAGACCACTAACTTTGCGAGAGCATAATTCCGTAAGTTTTCTATCAAATTTCAAACTTTTGGTGTCTTTATGATCGGGAAAAGATTCTCTATCTTTTCATAAGAGAAAATAATTTTTTTTTTTTTTAACCCTTTGACTGTTTTCGACGTATAAATACGTCTTACGAGCCAATGTTTCTGACGTATATATACTCAATAATTCTAGCGGCTTCAAATCAAGTGGGAGAAAGCTGGTAGGCCCACATGTGAGAGAATGGGTCTGTGTGGTCAGTGTGCACCACATAAAAAAAATCCTGCAGCAAACATTGCGTAATGAGAAAAAAAAAACTCTGATCGTTTTTTTGGAATAAAACGCCGACTTTGAGGTGTATTTTCGTATAGTATTTATCGTTGTATTCGCGTTTTCATGGTCTTAGGTGATAAAATGGAAAACATATTACAGAAATAGAGATGATTTTCATTACTTTTACGATGAAAACGACCTTGAAACTGAGCTAAAAGTAGCGGAAATGTTCGATTTTTACCAATGTTCAAGAGTAAATAATCACACCACACGTCCATACACGTCAACTGGGGAGTCTAATATTCTTTCACTAGTGCACTGATATTATTTATACCATTTTTACAATAATGCAGTCGTCTGCATAACAGTAAATTTTGTATTTTTGTGTATGAATAAAAAATTAAAATAGAAATCAATAATAATATAAGAGGGGCCTAGAGATGTGACTAATGAACAGAGCATATGTTATTTTAGTGCCACGAATGTCTACCTTGTTTATTCTGGACCCTATTTTGAAATTGGCATCTTTTTTATTTTGCGTGAAATTGGCCAAATTGCCAATTTCTGACCACCATATTGGGTAGTCCAAATTAGTAAATGGGAGGTTTCTTGTACTCAGCTGATAGATAAAATGGAGTTCTAAAGAAATAGCTATGAGTTTGGTCAACTGGAACAACGGAATTGGCTGAAAATAGGGCTCAAAGTCGGCGAAATCGCCGATACGCATATGTCGCAGAGACCGCTAACGTCGCGGGAGCATAATTCCACGAGTTTTCGACCAAATTTCGAACTTTTAGTGTCATTACCATCGGGAAAAGATTCTCTATCATTTCATAAGAAAAAATAATTTTTTTTTTTTTTCAAAAATTGAGCGACATAGAATGACAGTTTCAGAGAGGGGCCTGAAACAGTCAAAGGGTTAAATTTGGCCGACCCTGAGAACGAGTTTCGGAGAGGGCCTGTCGACCCTCAAAGGGTTAATAACATGTATGTTAATAACATGTATGTTATTAAATACTACAGACTCCACCACTGCTTCCACCAATGCCTCCACCACTGCGAGTCCCTACTACCCTCCCTCCGAGCCCCACAACTGGCAGCCAGCCCTCCCACCACTCAGTGTGGTGACTGTTTTGTTTGTTCATTATTTGCTATTAAACTACAGAATAAATAATGTAAACCCATTCATGACTGCATATTGGAATGGCTATTAGGACAGGTATTAGACGGTGACATCATGTGTTTACTCTTGAACACAGCAAAGAATCGAACATTTCTGCTATTGCTAATAATAACAATAGTAATAATAATAATAATAATAATAATAATAATAATAATAATAATAATAATAATAATAATAAATACGATATAATTGAAGAGGGAAATTGTACAAAAATATGAGGGAGTGGTTGACACATCGACAGTGTGACTTTGTTTATGCTGGAGTGAACATTAGTCTCCCTGCTCTTCCAAACATTTCACAATAATTCAGCGGTTGAGGCAGTGGTATTTAATAACATATTTTTTTTTTTCAACAAGTCGGCCGTCTCACACCGAGGCAGGGTGACCCAAAAAAAAGAAAGAAAATCCCCAAAAAGAAAATACTTTCATCATCATTGAACACTTTCACCACACTCGCACATTATCACTGTTTTTGCAGAGGTGCTCAGAATACAACAGTTTAGAAGCATACACATATAAAGATACACAACATATCCCTCCAAACTGCCAATATCTCAAACCCCTCCTTTAAAGTGCAGGCATTGTACTTCCTATTTCCAGGACTCAAGTCCGACTATATGAAAATAACCAGTTTCCCTGAATCCCTTCACTAAATATTACCCTGCTCACACTCCAACAGATCGTCAGGTCCAAAGTACCATTCGTCTCCATTCACTCCTATCTAACACGCTCACGCACACTTGCTGGAAGTCCAAGCCCCTTGCCCACAAAACCTCCTTTACCCCCTCTCTCCAACCCTTTCGAGGACGACCCCTACCCCGCCTTCCTTCCCCTATAGATTTATATGCTTTCCATGTCATTCTACTTTGATCCATTCTCTCTAAATGACCAAACCACCTCAAACAACCCCTCTTCTGCCCTCTGACTAATACTTTTATTAACTCCACACCTTTTCCTAATTTCCACACTCCGAATTTTCTGCATAATATTTACATCACACATTGCCCTTAAACAGGACATCTCCACTGCCTCCAACCGTCTCCTCGCTGCTGCATTTACCACCCAAGCTTCACACCCATATAAGAGTGTTGGTACTACTATACTTTCATACATTCCCTTCTTTGCCTCCATAGATAACGTTTTTGACTCCACATATACCTCAACGCACCACTCACCTTTTTTCCCTCATCAATTCTATGATTAACCTCATCCTTCATAAATCCATCCGCCGACACGTCAACTCCCAAGTATCTGAAAACATTAACTTCTTCCATACTCCTCCTCCCCAATTGATATCCAATTTTTCTTTATCTAAATCATTTGACACCCTCATCACCTTACTCTTTTCTATGTTCACTTTCAACTTTCTACCTTTACACACATTCCCAAACTCATCCACTAACCTTTGCAATTTTTCTTTAGAATCTCCCATAAGGCACAGTATCATCAGCAAAAAGTAACTGTGTCAATTCCCATTTTGAATTTGATTCCCCAAAATTTAATCCCACCCCTCTCCCGAACACCCTAGCATTTACTTCCTTTACAACCCCATCTATAAATATATTAAACAACCATGGTGACATTACACATCCCTGTCTAAGACCTACTTTTACCGGGAAGTAGTCTCCCTCTCTTCTACACACCCTAACCTGAGCCTCACTATCCTCATAAAAACTCTTTACAGCATTTAATAACTTACCACCTATTCCATATACTTGCAACATCTGCCACATATCATATGCCTTTTCTAAATACTGTTCACATATATGCTTCAATGTAAACACTTGATCTACACATCCCCTACCCACTCTGAAACCTCCTTGCTCATCCGCAATCCTACATTCTGTCTTACCTCTAATTCTTTCAATTATAACCCTACCGTACACTTTTCCTGGTATACTCAGTAAACTTATTCCTCTATA